CTTTCTTTACACATTTATATATTATTTAAAAATTTTTAAACAATTAATAAAAGTAATTTTATAATTTTACAAAAGGTATAATTTGAATAATAATAAAATTCTTTTAATATAATTTTATTTCAAACATAATTATAAAATTATTATCATTATTATTTTTCTATTAATTATGCTTTTAATTTTTCTATAAATTTTTTTATTATTTTCACCTTCAGTTCGCAAATTTTTCATACTACCCTCGCATATACACATATGGGTATTGGGTAAATGAATTCTAACATGCCAAAAAAAAATAAAAACACAAATAAACAAATAGAGTTGAATAAAAGTTAAATCAATAAACATGCAGCAAGGCTAAGAATAAACATGCACAACTGTACAAAGTTAACGGCAAACGGTTAAACGGGCAGGCATACTTCAGTGAATCGGTTTTGGTGCGCGCGCGACTTTCGAATGCCTTCACTATGGAGCTGGCCGAAACAGACGAGGATCCCATCGATGTGCTATACGAGGCATAGCTGCTGATGCTGTAGTTGTTGTTGTTGTTATTGTTGTTGCCATTACTATTGTTGTTGTTGTAGCAGCTGGAGCGCGCCAGCATGCCCTTGGTAGTTAAACGTTCATAGTTGGGGCGCGTGGGCGATTGTGGAGGCGAGGCATACGAGTGCGTGGATGCACCGGAAATGCTGGAAGCAGACATAGTCTGCCCCTGGCAGGCAGTTGTGTCAGCCTTCGGCTCCGACTCCGACTGGAAGGCAGCTTCGTTTGGCACCTGCTCCGGCGTTTGCTCATGGCTCAGGATGATCTGTGTGGTGGCCGTGGAGGGTGTGATGACATTGATGGATGGCAAATGGCGATGTTGCTTATGTGGCTTGCTGCTGCTCATTGATGATGATGCAGACAATGACAATGACAATGATGATGACGATGACGATGATGATGTTGATGTTGATGGCGATGTGGTGGGGGCGTGGCAGCAAGCAAGCAAAGGTGTTTATTTGTTTGTTTGTTTGTTGTTGGTGGTTGAGGCAGCAACAAAGTTTTACAAAGAAAATGGGCAATCGATTAACAAAACGAATAAAGCAGCAGCAGCAGCAGCAGCAGCGGCAGTAAAGGCAGACCCAAGGGTTTGGATAGGTGTCTATATAGCTATATATATGTATGTGTATATAGCAACAGCTAGCTGTTACGCACCTGAGTGTGGCATCCACTTGATCCACCTTCAGCTTCATTTCACTTGCAGCAGGCTGAGATTTGCTCAGCGTTTGCTTCTGGTTGCGTTGCTCATCCTCATCCTGCACGATTTGCAGGATTTGGGTGGCCCGATCCTCAGCATAGTTCACCGACTCCAAGGCCATCAAAATGATGCGCTCAGCTATGTTCGGATACTTCTGTTTGAACTGTGACTCCACTGGAAGTGAGACGGAATAGAGTGAGTTGAGTTGGAAGCAGGAGAAGCACTAACTAAAGCCACTCACTGTCTGCCTTCTGCTCGGCTGTGTACTCCTTGGGCCGCAGCGGTATATGCTGCACCGCCTGCTCCTGGCCCGCTTGCTGCTCCGACTCCAGCTGCGGCGGTCGATTGTTGGGTCTGTGTGGCTGCTGCATGTCCCGCTTGACATAGCCCAGCGAGATCAGCTTCTCCGAGGCGAACTGCACATTGTTGTCCGCATTGGCCAGGATGTCCAGCAGCAGCATCTCATCCGCCTTGGGGAATATGTTCTTCATGTATCTGAAGTGGGGGAAAATTTCTATTATTTTAAATTACAATTAAATATAGAGTAAATATTGTAAAAGAATTAAAAGTTAAATTAAATTATATAAGGAATCATAAGAGAACGAGCAATACAAAGTAGAGCTAAGATTTATAGAACGATAAGCTTTCGTAAAGCTAAGTAAAGCGATAGAAAATATATATATGTATATTAAAGTTAAACAAAATACAAATTCAGACAAATAAACTCGTTCCATTTTTCCATTTGCCCATGGCTAATTACAAAATTGAGCTCCATTTTGCCATTAGCTAATTGCATTTGGCATTGGCATGCAATTACGGCTCAATCTCTGGCCAAATCGCACCTCAATTTCATTTTGGGCGAGGAGTGGGGCTTCGGTGAGCTGCGCCACTGCGGCGAGCCATGCAGACCCACAGCCCCCACTCCGACTCCGACTCCAGCTCCGACTCCAACTCCAGCCGGTCCCGCTGCTCCTGTGGGCTGGTGTCCGCTTTGCATGCTCATGAGACTACCGAAGCGGCCGCCGGGCAGGGGACTGGCCGTGCGTGATGTAACCGTTGCCCGACTAGCGCCCATGTCCAGGCGGCGCGCCGGTGGTGTCATATAGAAAGCGGAATTGCTGTGGAACAAGTGACGCTGGGCGGGAGGCGTGACGAATGGACCAGGCATGGTAACGGGATGCTTTTCCACCTGCAAAGCGCTGATGACGACAGCCTCGCGATTATAATAGCTGGCGTTAGTAAGCGGGTGTACAAGAGAGAAAGAGAAAGAGAGAGAGAGAGGGGAGGAGATAGTGTGTGTGTGTGGGTGCATTAAGCAGCAGCGTGTGAGAAGACATAAATACACATAAACATATGCACAGATTAGCAAGGAATTACTTTAGCAATAATGATATAAATATATAAAGTATATAATATATACATATATACTATATTATCGGCTTACCGCTTCAGCAATAGCCGTATATGATTCTCATCGGCTGTGGGAAACATGTTCTGTATCTTGGTGACCACGGCCTGGGTATCGCTGAACGAGGTCTCCTGAATGGTGGAACGACGCGACATGTTGGATGGCAAGCGGGCACGCTGCACAGGCAGAGGCGAAGAGAGCTCCTGTAGCAGAGATAAGAGACAACACAGAATGCTATAGAAATTACTCGCATTTAACTGTTCAGCTAACGCCCACCAGTTGTCCGCGCGACGAGGCGGAGAGCAACGGACTCGTCGACAGATTGTGTAAGGCGCGCTCCTGGAAGGCACGCACGGCGGTTAGATTGTTGCTGGGATGTACCACATGGAAGGGAGAGCTGTGATGGGAGTGCTGCGCCAGGGGCTACAAATGACAAAATGAGAGGAGAAATGGAAAAACCAAATAATGCAAAACAATACAAAATTGCATAAAACATTTCATGTGACACTCAAAAGTATGCAATGAATTTTACAACTTTTATGCAGCGCACAAAAGTATGCTATAAAAACTTTATAGCTTTCGAATACACTCTCAAACTGCAATTGAATGAGCTCACCTGCAGCGCTATGGACTCTGTGGAGCAGCGTTCGTTTTGCAACTGCTTGTAGCTGCTGCGTCCGGCGCGCGGATCCTCCAGCTGCATAGCCTTGGTCAGATAGTTTATGTAATAGCTGCAACGACATAAAAATGGCAAAAACTGCAAATCAAAGGCCATAAAATGCTAGCACACAAGGGTTGATTGCCGGCAACGGCACGGGGCCGGCCTCCGGTTCGGCTGCTGCTGGTGGTGAATTTCTCAATGATGGTACATTTGGGGAAAATGCTCTGGGTAACGGCAAAGGTAAAGGTAAAGGTAAAGGTAAAGGGTACGACGATACCTAAACAGCGACACGTGCCAAGTAGCTGCCAAATGGCAGCAGCAGCAACTCACATTTGACAGCTAATCGGGGGCTGTGATTGCGAGAGACGAGATGAGACGAAATGAGACGACATGACATGGGACTCCTGACAAGTGCACACTTGAATTTAACGTATGACAGTCGCTGCTTAATTGCACACAGAGCCAAAGCAAACAAATGTGAGAGCAGAGAGCAAAGAGGAGCAAGTAGCTCGCAAGTTGGAGTGAAGCCCACATTAGGCGGAAGTGACACAGTTTATGCGCCAATGAGGCCAATTGACATCAAGTGTTGTACTTGGCATAATGAATAGCACGTCAAGACAACGCTAGAGAGCAACAGCAAAAGTTACTTCAGGCAGATTTCATGCGCTGCCTAAAAGTATGCAATGGAATTTTTACAGTTTGCCTTTAGCCAAGTAGACAATTGTAGACCGCTAGCAGGCCTCTCAACCGCTGGGCTATCAAAAATGTATATAAAATATAAATATACTTCACAGTCACTTGACATTTAATAAAATTCCCAGCAATCAAGTTGCCCCAACGGCTGTCATGCTACACCCGAGCACAGCTTTAATAGGCGCCGCCTGAAAGCATGCAATGGAAATTTGCCGCCTACAGCTCTCAGCTCACATTTCAATGCAATTTCATTTCTCATTTCTCTGTGTGCATGCACAAAATCAAAAAAAAAAAAAACTGTGTGCATGCATAAATATTTATGACGTTTGCTTTATGCATTTTCATTTGCTGTTGCGGTTGCTGTTGCTTACCAGTTGCCCGTCGTTTGATCATATTTGCAGTCCCAACCGGGCGGCATCTTTTGATAGCCATTCGTACCGCCTGCATCGCTCATATTTGAATTTTATGCTTTTTTTCGATTTTATTTTTGTTGAATATTTATGGCTATTTAAACGGATATTCGCAGCTTGTTTGCCAACCGTCTGCAACCCCGAAAACTTTGCTGGATTTGCCCTTGCCACTACGAGCTTTGTAGTTGTTGTAGCTGTTGTAGCTATTGTTGTTGTTCCTATCGTTGCTGGGGGTTGTTAACCACCACCGAAACGTCGCACACTAGCACGCTCCGTCGCTCGCACACAGACACAACAAGCACAGTTATTTTTGTTTACAAGGCGCAGCCGGGTAAAAAAAAACCAAAACACGCACACACACACACACACTGAGAGACAGACACGGCGTGCCGTTAGTGCCAGGATTTTTCGTCCTTGCCGCTTTTCCAACGAACGAACCGCGCTTGGCCAGCTTTCAACGTCTACTGACTTGGCCCGCTCGCCGAGATGCTGCGCGGGAGCGAGCTTTTCACTTTGGCGCCAAGCTCCAGTCGCTCGGCAGTGTTGGTTAACGCTCCGAATGTAACGGCTGTGGCTGAGCTTTGCTTTGACTGCCACCTGAAGTGTGAGCTGACACCAAATTTTCAGTATATTTATAGACATAGCACAATCAAATACTTGAAACTTCATATCCAACTTTTTGGGCAAAATATATTTATTGAGAGGCCAACAAAATGTCGGTGTATACGCCGGAAGTGCGCATTACGCGTATCACAGACACGTATCTGCAGGATACGCTGGACGAAATGGCAGAGGAGCAGCAAAAACCCAAGGGGCCGACCAGAGCCGAAAAGAAGCAGATGAAGAAAGAAGCAGCGCGCAAGAAGAAAATGGAGGAGCAAATGTTGATTTTGCGCGTAAGTAGAATAGAGCTTCAAGCCATCTCTCTCCCTCTCTCTGTCTCTCTCTCTCTCTCGCTCTGTCTCTCCCTGAATATCTTAGCTATATCTTTAAATTTTCTTCTCTCTCTTCCTTCTCTCAAAATTACCTTCTACTGTTCTTCTTTCTCTTCCTATCTCTCTCTCTATCTCTCTATCTCTATCTCTCTCTCTCTCCCTCTCTCTCTCTCTCTCTCTTTTTCTCTCTCTCTGTCATACTTACACCTGATCCCATCGTGTCGGTCTTTTTCTATTCCACTTTCAGTCTTTCTCAGTTCTCTCTCTCTCTCTTTCTCTTCATACTTCTCTAACGAATCGCCTTCCCCCGTAGCATGGCTTACGTACTGAGCTGGAGATTGGCAAGCGCATGGATCTGCGCGGCATGGAGGAATGGAACGCCATAGCTGAGCAAATCAAGTTGATTGAGTTGCGGCAAGAGCTGCTGCAGTGGGGAGAAAACGCCGAGCGCATTCTTGAGAACAAGAACGATCGCATCAATATGCTGGTCGCCGATCTGACGCACACCAACGAGCAGCACGCGCGCAATTTTGGCCGCACCGTGGAGCTGATCGATCACATCGGCGAGTGCTACCACGCCATGCTGGAGTGCAACAAGCACATGTACGAACAGCAGGCGGAGGATCTGCTCAAGGAGTTCTACGACGAGGTGCACCTGCGCACCGAGGAGGTGGACGCGATGCACCAGAACAGCGAGAATATCATCCACGCCTCGAACCTCTACACGCGCGATCAGCTCAAGGAGGACTACCAGATCTACCAGGAGCAGCGCGACGACTACGTGAACAAGAACATCGCACGTCGCTTCGATATACGCGACCAGGTGGTCAACAAGATGAGCCAAATGCAGCGCCAGCTGAACGAGTTCGTCGATGCACTCCACAGCACCGATCTGGATGTGCACAAATACGAGCGCATTCGGATGCTGACCGAGCGCCAGCAGCAGTTCGTGGAGGACACCAAGAAGCTTAACCAGGACGAGGTGAAGTACATCGGAATGCTGCACGAGATTCAGCAGGACACGCTGCGCGTCGAGACGGAGAATAATGCGACGATCAACGATCTGCGCCTGGAGTTCGAGTACTTCTCGAATGTGCGCAAGAAGATCGAGGATCGCATGCATGCGGATCGCATCACAACGCACGAGAAGCTGCGCATACTCAGCACTGAGTGCTACGAGTTGACCAAGGTACAGTCGCCACTCGGCATCACAGACTCTCAACCTCATTCGACGCCTCTGCTCCATAGAAATTCGAGAAGATCGTGAAGAGCGGCGAGCTGCTGCTTGCCCTGTCCATCACCTGTCGCAAGCTCCAAACGGAGTCCGAGAAAATCATTGTGGGCGGCGAGGTGGTCGAGCCCATCGATGTGGGCCCGGTCGATGACGATTTCACGCTGCAAACGCTGGACATTAAGAAGCACGTGGACCTGAACGAGGAGGATCTGGTCATGCTGAACAAGAGCCTGAAGAATTTCTGGCGCCAGCAGGCCATGGCCCAGGCCCAGAACATGCTGCTGCTGGAGGAGAAGCGCAAGCTGACCGAAGAGAATCAGCGCCACATCGACTTCATCAAGTCCATGAGCAAGACGGACAATGCCGAGGAGCTGCGCGCCGCCATGATCGTTAGTCCGTGCATGAAGAAGGTGCCGCTGCTCTTCGACACCCAATGCCGTTTCCAGAAGCTGCGCATCAAGCGCGAGTCGGCCACAGCCGGACGGGACGCCCAGCGGGAGGCGATGAACACCATCAAATTCATCCTGCATACCAGCCAATGCAGTCTGCATAATCCAAAGAAGACGGAGGAAAAGTGAACTGGAGCTAGAAGAAATATATATCTAGTATATTTATAGGTAGTTTAGTAGTTAGCAAAGCTAAAGGAATTCACGAAAGAAGAACTCGAAATTCGGATAGCAGAATTTATTACTTTTTCTTATGTTTTTTTTTTTATAATGATGAAGATGTGACTGAAAGATCAGTTAGATGAGTTTAAGTAGTTATTTATGGGAGCAAAATTCCATTAGAATATTAGACATGTATCAACATAACAGAGTGAATCAATTCACTTATTTAAGTGAATATTTCAAGTGAATTTATATAGTGAATTAGCAGTGGAATTCTAGTAGAGTTAAAATGAACAAGTTTTTTATTATCCTAGATATTTATATCCATCAACTCACTCATTCAAGTGAATATTTTGTTAGGTGAAAATAGAATGAAAATCTAGGATAGGCAGTTCAGATATAAATTATTAGATTGTTAGGTATAGATCAGTTATAACTATAAATTCACTTACTCAGGTGAATTTATAGAAAAATATCAGTGAAAATCTAGTAGAGTTTTGTTAGCTATATATCATAAATGTAAATTCACTTCTTTGAGTGAATTTATATAGTGAAATAGCAGTGAAAATCTAGTTCAGTCAGGCTAGTTACACACATATCATTAATATTTATATACCCATTAATTCAGTTATTCAAGTGAATATTACGTTAGGAGTAAAACACACAGTTATTCAAACAGTTTACAGATACTTTATTAATATCATATATGTATGTGTTTATGTGCGTGTGTATGATATATCATAGGCATTAAGGCAATCCAACAATTACTTATTCAAGTGAAATAAGCATGAACATGAATTCAATTCAGTTTAGGCAGTTTTTTATTAGCTCTCAATCAATCGATCAATAATATCGCATACCATGTATCAGGAGGCTAGGCCTGATACATAACATATGTTTATATATATATATATAATGTGTATATAAAAAGTAAACTGTACTCGAAGAACTTAGGCACTAATCAAATCCTTTGGTCAAGACAAATGCACGAGCAAATTTAATTCGCGTCATATGTAAAAAGTGTTATTTTGATAAGGGTTGTGCTCGATATGATTTCTCGATTCAGATGAACCTCAGGGGCTGGACCTTGAGGCGTTCGGCTAGGGCGGCGCAGGTCTTGAGCTGGTTCTCCAGATACTGAATGCCGCCGGCCTGGTCAACAGCCTTAATGTTATTCTGCTCCTTGTCGCCGGCGAGCAGGACGGGCTTCTCAGGATTAGTCTATGGGCGGGGGAGGGGAGAAGGGGAATTCAGTTAGTCTCTAAACTGGAAGCTCGTCCAGCTGCAATTCTTACCGGTTTGGTGCTGCGCAGAATGGAGTTAAAGTCACTCATGCGCTCCTCGAACTGGGGCGCAAAGCTGTTCGGATCGACGGCGATGAAGACCTGGCCCAGATCGGCGGCTGAGTTGGCGCCCGTGTGGGTCCATTTGCGGACGTGCGTGGCGTATCTGGCGCCGGACATGACACCGGTCAGGATGTCCACCATGGCGCCCAGGCCGTAGCCCTTGTAGCCGGAGGTCAACTCAGTGCCGCCCAGGGGGCAGAGGCAGCCCGTTTCGAAGGCCAGCTTGGCGTCGTTGGTGACCTTGCCCTCGGGATCCTGGGCCCAGCCATCGGGCAGGGCGGCGTCCTTGCGCATCTGGATCTCAATCTTGCCCACGGCCACGGCTGTGGTGGCCATGTCCAGCAGGAAGTGATCCTGGCCACAGCCGTTGGCGCCCAGCGAGAGCGGATTGGTGCCCAGCGCCGCCTCCTTGGCATTGGTTGGTGCCATCAGCGGCGATGTATTGGTCATGGACATGCCCACCAGGCCGCTCTCCATGGCGCGCAGAGCATACCAGCCGGCCATGCCATAGTGATTGCTGCCCTTGGCACAGACCCAGCCAACGCCCACATTCTTGGCCTTCTTGATGGCCAGATCCATGCAGAAGTTGCCAACGACAGCGCCCAGCCCGTTGCATCCGTCCACCCAAGCCGTGGCGGGCGTCTCCTTCAGCACCACGGGCACGGCAGCGCCATCCGTGGAATTGATGGCCAGATCATTGATGTACATCTCCAGCCGGTTCATGCCGTGGCTGAAGTGACCTCGATGATCGGCGGCCACCAGCAGATCGGCCTGAGCCTTCGCATGCTCCTCGGGCACATTGACGGCCTTGAAGCAGTCGATCATGAAGCGGCGCGACTCCTCCACCTTCACCAGTTTCTGACACGTACTCGACATCATACGCGATAAGCCGAACAGCACTGTAAAATATTAGCAAATCGAAATTGAATTTGGGAACTGGACTTGGATCCAAAGTCAAGAGGCGAGCGCTAGGAGACGACGTGTTGCTTCCAGATGCGAGACAGGCAAGCGACTAACGGTTAACCCTAAGGCACCATAAGCAGCCGGTCTGATAATTAAGCTAATGCTCACCAATACAACGATCTCTGGTGTGACAATGAGAGTGAGTGAGGCAGAGAGATAGACTGAGAGAGGGGACGGCGGTAGGTAAAGAGCTCACTCTTTATCGTAGCTTCCATTTGTTGTTGTTTATTTACTTTGTTTTTTATTTATTTTTTTTTTTTTTGTATTTTGGCAAAACCCGAAATTGCTAGAGAGGCGCGTGTACATACATATATGCATAGACTTATCAGTTGTGTAAGTATGTGTGTGTGTGTGTGTGTGTGTGTCTCAATATTCTGTGTTGATATATGTATCATAAAGATATATGTATATATGTATGTATGTTTGGCACATGTATGTATGTTTGGCTAGTTTTTTATGCAGCACACGAATATTGTTTTCTTTTTATAAATTCTCATTAAGTTAGTGAAATATGTCACGAAATGTGTTACACATGAATGGACTATAAAGCTTTATTATATTGAACTGTTGGGTATTACGATATAACATATGTATGTATATACATTTATAGTCTAAGTCAAGCTTATCAAATTTACATATGCATATTTAGCGAGAGACTAGTCAAATATTGTTTTCGAGCAGCTTTCAAAGTAAGCGATTCTAATAAGAAAATAATCTATAAAGCAAACCTGCTTTAAAATGTACCTATAACACATATATTCTATATATATTCTTCCCGGGTTGGCTATCTCTTATTAGAACCGGACTTTGAGCTAGGCATAAAACAAAGAAAATATATGGTATGAATATTCTCATACATCTATTTTAAATTAAAATACTTTTTACAAGACAAAAAACTATAAATATAAATTATAAAATAAAAAATCAATCAATTATATAAAATCAGCGAATTTGTATATAAAAACTAAACTTTTTTATACAATCTATAATTTTGGATTTTTAATAAATATATAAATAATTATTCTTCGATTGTGAATACAAAAAAAATACAAATATAAATAAAATAATTGACATATAAACAAGATGCCTATACAATTAATTAATATATAAATATAAAAAAAATTTTGATATATTAATAAGAAACAATTATAGAAAAAATTGATGATTAAATAAAAATTAGGTGATATAAAAAATACCTTATGTAAAAAAAATATGAATTTAAAATATATTTGATATGAGTTATGTAAAAAGTAATTTCAACATAAATAAAAATCAATAAAAATAAAATTATGCACATAAATTTATTTATATTCTACATATTGATCTAAAAAATATGTATTTTATAAAGGTCATGTATAAAATAATATTAATTAAAAAATAATTCAAATTTATAATCAGAATAAAGCAAAAGGAAGACTTCAAATTTTAACTAAACTAACAGTATAGGATGAGAGCTTCCAGCATAAAGAGTATTATAATACTATTACTACTATAATATTATAATACTTCTATTACTATATATACTATTAACGATAAACGACCTATAGCTATCTCTAGAGTCTAGACTCATTCGTGATACAGTGAGTGTATTTGCTTTGTCGCCTAGTCGCCTTCTATCTGCCTCTAGCAACTTATTTCGCTGGGGGCTCGCAGCACAGCAACAACTACAACTACTACAGCTACAAGCGAACATACACATATATGTATGTGTGTGTATGGCCAAATATTTATTATTAAGCTATGTGTTTGTATGTTTGTATTTCCAGTTTTATTTTGAATTTGTCAAGTCTGTTGCTGCTGCCATCGCTCGTGTCTGATGTGGGCTGTGTGAGCATTTGTGTTTTTTTGCTGTTGTTGTAGTTGCTGTTGGCTTGTTGTTAATGACCTTGAACTTCACTTGGTATCCATTTGAATAGGGCGCCCACACTGGCAGCCCATGGATGAATTAATTACGAGACAAATAACAACTGATGGATGGGTTGATAAATGTGTTCGATACATTGATTATGGAATGACGGAACTTGCGGTATTACAGTACTTACAGTACAGCCTTAACAAAATATGTCACCTAATGTGTTGCTAAGCTCTTGACAACTGCCACGCCCCCGCCCAGCCATTGAATATGCGATAATGAAAGCGAATTTTGATAAGTCGCTTGAGCACAATAAAGTCGGGCAGCTTAAGCAATATGAAATAATGCAAACAAATATACACAGGCATATATATGTATATATGTATGTATATATCTGTCCGATAACCTTACTAACCGATTCGGAATAGCGCCAAGCGTGTCGGCCTCTTTATCAGTGATATACGCTGTGCGTATTTTACAGCACTGGCTTTCGCACATCTCTCATTGGTCAAATTGTCGGGCGCCATTGTTGCGTCCTTACCAACACTGGCTGCACTTTACACATTAAATCACTTCAAATTTTGCATTGCACATTTTAACGTTGAATTTGGACAAAACAACAGAAGTCAGCCAAAAAAAATTTTTTAATTATATAGATTTATAAATAAAATATAAATATATATTTATATAGAAATGATATTAAACGTTTGCCATTTGTCAACGCCTATTTCGATTCGTATAGAACATTGTTTCGACTCTTAATTGGGCTAAACGAGTGTTTTTTTTTTTTCGGGGCTGCACATAAAGTGTTTCGAGTGTTGAATGGGCTTTCAATTAGACAATCAAATTCTCATTAGTCAAGTGAGCGAAGTGGAACACAAATTGGAGCAATGGAAGAGTAGACAATTGAAATTGAGTAAATGAATATTGAATATTATATAGTATATATTGATATAAATGTGATATGATCCATTATTTGACATAATGAGCACTTGTTTTGGTTATCGATCATAATTCAAATGCCCTGAGGAAAAGCTTTGATTTATGGAGTAGAAAATAGTGTGAATCTTCGTGTATTACTTTTCTACTTTTCAAAATAGTCTAAAGAAATTTCAAATTTTGTATTTATATTAGAACTTTTTTTGTAATTTTTCTACAGCTCCATAAACATTGTCATACAATTCTTAAGACGCTATCCGTTTTACTAGAAACTTATAAATTGACTAAACATTTATAAACAATAGAATATAAAACTCCACAGGGTAAACATTTTTAAATTATATAAATAGAAAAAAAAAACGATAAAAAAAAAAGTAAAAAAAGTTGTTGTTCATACAAATTCTCTGGTTTTATGAGTAATAAACAAAATTTCATTGATTACACGTGGGTGGCATTGAATAACAACAGCTCAGGTATCTCAAGCAAAATATCTATAAGGAACAGCTGATTTCATGCACAAACAACTGTCAGCTGCCTGTCGTGAGCGTCAATTATAAAGTAAAGGGAAGCTAAAGATAGGCATATAAATCATAGCGCATAGATAATAAAGAATTGCACGCGTAATTAGAATAATAAATTAGAATAATATATTCCACTTACCGCCCAGATTTGCATTGATTTTAGGCGCTGCAGCTGCGCTGTAACGCCTACAATGCTGTTGTTGTTGCTGCTGCTGCTGCTGCTGCTGTTGTTGTTGGCGCCTTTGAAGTGTTTGAATACACCGCCGATTGATGCTGACGTAGGCGTTGGCAGCGACCGCACGACGCGAGCAGCACAATGTCAACGATGTCATTGCAGCGAATATGGCAAAAACGAAACGAAAACGTTCTAAAGTGCTAAAATCAAATCAGGAATGGCAACAACAATACCAACGAGTCGAATACGTCGCCGCAACAACAACTAAAACCCAAAAGCACAAAACTAGTTGAGCGCTACGTAGAGCGCAAAAAGAGAGACGCGTAAAGCAACAATAACAAGTCTATAGAAATCAGCGAATACGTAACGAAACCAAAACAGCTGACGTCGACGTCAACGCTAGCGTCTCTGCGAGCAGCTCTGCTACTAATGCTGCTGCTGCTTGTGTTGTTGCTCTCAAGTTTCGTTTTGCCTTTCGCCTTGCACTTTTTAGTTATTCTCTTAGCTGCGTCTGTTTCAGAACGTTTCTTAAGCGCGTCTTCTTCAGTCGTTTCGATTCCTCTTCGTCGTTGGGAGATTAAACGCGATTAGCGGCGAATTGCCCAAGCAAACGGAAAGCTTCGAATGATTTTAGCACGACAATCAACTACACAAATACTACGTAAAGTATAATTATTTACAAACGAATTATTAACAACTGCACGCAAGCAGCTAGTTTTACGTAATTACTACTACAACAAATAAATGTTAACAAAAATGTGCAATTTAACAACAACAACAACAGCGACAACGACAACAGCAAATAAGTGTGAAAATGCGAATCTTTAGAGAGATTCTATTTGATTTATATTTGTGCGCCTCGTCGTGTTCCGTCGGAGCGCCAAGTTGAACTGCCATGAACTGAGTTGGAGACGTTCTCGTCGACGTCGTCGCCTATCGCCCGTTTCCACACGGTGCCTCAAGCTCTGCCGCGATTAGCTCAATTGAATAAAAGTGAAATTTAAATTCATATACAAAGAAATCAACTCGCGCAATGCGTAGAAATGCGTAGAAGCAGACGAAAGAGCGGGAGAGTGCGAGAGAGATAGACCAAGTGGAGAGCACAATCAAAATTTGTGGCCTTGGCCACAGTTAAGAAGAGGCGTGTGCATTCACTAACAATTAACATTAAATATAATATATAAATTAGCTACAACGAGTAAAGCAAACATAAATACACTTATAGTTAATTGTAAAGTTAATTGCTTTAAGGTGAAGCACATTTCATTTGTTTACATTGCGCGCGCAGTGCTGTAAAAGGCGCGCTTAGCCAAGACACAAACCAGTACCGTAAGAGCTACGCGCCAAGAGTAAAGTTTGAAAGCTAAATCTTTTCAACAAATTTGTTGTTGTTGCTGCTGCTATTGTTGTTGTTGTTGCCGCTTTAACTTAATATGGTAATTTGTATGCTTTGTGTGTTTCTCTGCCCAAGTGTGTGTATATGTTAATATGTATTTGTTTTCACCAGCTATGCGCAAAAATTATTATAATTTAAGTCACATTTCTATTTTAGTATTCAAGCAGCAACAGCAAATTTTGAACGGTATGTGAGTTGATTTTATTTATAATACCCTGTAACTTTGGAATAGGGTATAATGTCTAAAAGTTCCATATTCTCCATTTATACCGTAGTAAAGCTTTTGAATATATTCAATTCATTCAATTCCAAACAAAATGTAAATATGGAAAGGTATTTTAATTAGTAGACACTCTGATGTCATTACAACACTCTGAAATTTCCATTAAGATATTGCATTCATAACCGAAGTTATTCAATAACTAATTTCCCTTAGTGGGAGACTCGTAGGAAAAGCAATTAAAACAGTTGCACAAAATGCGCAATAGATGGCGCTCTCTGTCTCGCTGTCACTAAGAATCTAATTCGAATGGTATTTCTACCGTGTTTTCTCAACTGCTGGGTATATAGCAGTCGCACACTCCCCAGCACATTCCTCGTTTATTTACTATTTAATTACTCAACTGGCAGCGATTACCGTTGTAGGAGATTCGCCTACGCGAGCAGCGTACAGGTGCGCGCTATCAATATTCGGCTAGCTTGATTCAATGGGCCATAGGGCCAAAGATTTTTTCGACCAACTCAAGTTGATTTTATTTTGTTTTCATATTTGGGCAATTGCCTGCGGCACATAAACAATAAATTAACAGCAAATGCTAACAAAACAAACAAACGATAACAAACACGCACAGACATGCTCAGACCTATCACTGAGTGTGTGTGTGTGTGTAATCATATGTCATCATCAGCAACATGATGGCATTTTGTAGAACCAACTGCTGAGTCAGAGTTGACATCCAAAAGCCACAAATTGGGGCCGACTCTGGGGGCTCCAAACTGGGCTTTAGCATTGCCTCCAGCTGCTCTATTGCTGTCTCTGTCTTGCCACATATTTATGCTTGTGCAAGCAGTCAGAAAAAGGGCATATTGGTTGTGTGGAATGTGTGTTTGATAATGGATATCGTTGGATGTGTGAGGGATAGAGAGAGAGAGATGTGAAACTACGTATATTTTAGTGTTCAGATTTGTTATTTGGATTATGTATTACGTAACGGGTATTTACAGACATGCTTCAGCCTTTGAAGGGCTTGAAGTTTGATAGACAGCAGCTCAAGCTTATTTGAGAAACCTGGCATATATAAAATATAAATTATAAGCGACATAACAAAATGTTAAATAATTTAACTTTTAAATATAAAAACTTTATTTATTTATTTATTTTTATTCAACATTTTAAAACAATTAAATCTAAAAAATTAACAAAAAATAGTTTTACATCATACTTCAACCACTTACGCTTACATTTTTATATCTAAGTTATTTTTTATTAAAAATCAACATATGTTAAATTTTTATAGATTTTAAGATCTCTACTGTAGGCGTGGCAAGAGAGTTACTCAGCTGTACCCTGCAAAGTTTTACAGCTAGCAGCCTAAAACTTGGAATGTGGTTAAGACTCAAGCTACTCCACAGACCCTATCAAAAGTTCCCTAACTACATTGACAATAGCCTTGGCAAATGGGTGGATAAAAACCCTAAAGCCTTACAGTTACAAGCTGAAAGAACAAAATTTGCCAACAGAAAGAAATTCAATGAAGTATATCTGATATTATATGCCTATTCTGGGAGTGGCATATCAGAGAAACAAAGTTTCTATTGTCTTTCATTTCGTTCCAGAATCAGACTGAATCACATTGAATTCAGTGCACAAATGATTCATAGATCGATCTCAGCTGCACTTAAGGCAAGACAACTCATGAGCATGAGTCAAATTGAAGGCGTTTCGCGCTGAGCAGCCCAAGCCTCGCCCGCGCTGAGCGTGTATCATGCAGTCGCTCAAGCTCGGCTGCAACGTTCTCTTGTTTTGGTGCCGTTTTCGTGTTGATTTCGTTGAGCGCATTTCGCTGCAGAACGCCGGTCGAAACAGACGCAAGCTGTGCGTCCAAATTGATAAATAATCAGCACGCTCCAGCAGTAGCAGAGAGAGAGAGAGAGAGAGAGACAGAGGTAGACAGAAGACAGAAGCAAAATAGAAACTGAAACATATTTTAAAACAAGCTACTAACTAACGGCTGCTAACTCTTTGCTCTAAACAAAACTAATCGACGACTCACCGCTAATTGCTTTGTTGTTGTTGTTGTTGTTGTTTCTTTCGGTTCGTTCAGCTTTCGTTGCCAAAAAAGAAAAAGCAAGAACGGAAAAAAGCGTACAAAAGTTTTTCATTTGTGAATCGGGCATTCGATTTGGCCTTGCGAAACTTTCCGGGTGAGTACTTAAAATACTTAAAATACAATTTCAGTTGCTGTTCGTCGCTGTATTGGCATTGAGCGGAAGCCAGCAAAAAACAAAAAATAATTGCACTTAATTGCAGTTAACCGAAATGGCCAACACGAACGTGAAAATCGTCGAGTCGAAACTGGATCTGTTCCAGGCACCGCAGCACTATGCCCTGGCCCATGCCGTCGACTCTTCCTTCACGGCGGTCCGCGGCTCCCTCGCCTGGCAGTTCGCCCTCATCTACGGGGACGTGGACGAGCTGCGACGGCGTCGCGTCACCAGCGGCAACTGCGTCGTGCTCGAGCATAATGCACGATTCGTCTACTATTTGGTGACCAAGGCCAATCTCTATGCCGGCAGCAGCTACGACGATGTCCAAGCGGCGTTGATCTGCATGCGAGAGCATATGGTAAGGCTGGCGAGTGCGAGTGGGAAGAGGAAAGGGCAATGTGAGTGTGGGAGTAAAAGAGAGGCAGTGAGTTAAAGTGGAAGAGAGAGAGAGAGAGAGAAGTAGATTTATTTAGTTCCATGTTGAGTACAGAGTGAGGGAATGATACCGAATGATAATAGATAAGCTGCCTATATAAAAGAGAGAGACAGAGAGAGTGAGGAAAGTGATAATAAACAATGGCATTAATATACGTACATATGTAGGTATTATTAGATTAGTTAGCTGATTAGAGAGCAACATAGATATGTATGTAAATATGGGAATACATTCATTAAAAGGGCTTAGAGAAACATATGTAGAATAGATAAAAATAATGGAAGATCTGTTTTGAGAGTGAGAATGAGTATAAGAGAAATGAAGAAAAAACCAAATGAGATGTACTAAAATAAATGTAGATTAAACCATTGATGAAGAGCAAAAGAGACAGACAGGTAGGGAGAGAAAGAGATAGAAAAGATGAGATCAGATATATGCATACCTTGAAGAAAGATATATATAAAGATCTTAGATAAGAAAAAACAAGCCAGAGTGAAATCTAAAGTGAGAAGTGAGAGAAGACAAAGAAAACATTATATCTATAGTATAATCTACCGGTAAAAAGTCTATAAACCCAAATATGATAATCAAAAATCTAGTAACTTGGGTATTCTGCCTTCCCAATAGTATTATAAAATTCTTGTAGTTCAGTTAGGGCATGCAAGAGTCGGCTATGACCATGCCACACAACTGTGTTTGCACAGCATCTCGTTAATTTACAGTTAATTTGTTGGCATCATAAATATGTAAACAGAAGTATTTATAGAGAGAGCGAGCGAGACACAAGCCGATTCACGCATATGTTAATTAATCAAAGTCAATCAAATTTTGTCAATCACGCATCGCAGCGGAATCATGAAATCACCAAAGTGGCGATGCCGCGGATTTGCTGCGGCGACAGCGAAGGCCTCCAGTGGAAGCAAGTGAAGCGCATCATGCAGCAGATATTCGCTCACAGTGAGTATCCCATTGAGATCATGATCTGCGAGCATGACGACATAGCCAGAGAGGTGAGTGCAGAATGAATACAGATATATGTATATATGTATGTATATTCACTTGTCTATTGCCTTTCCAGCTGGCCGCGCCAAAGTGTCAGATAACCGAGGCGAAGGGCAACTTGTTTAGCGCACCGGAAGACTTCGCTCTGGTGCACTCGGTGAGCGCGGACTTTGCCATGTGCGCCGGTATCAACTTGCAGTTCCGCTGCAAATTCGGCCAGGTGGACGAGCTGAAGCGCCAGCAGCGGCACACGGGCAACGTGGCCGTGCTGGAGCAGGGCGGACGGTACATCTACAATCTGGTGACCAAGGAGCGGGCACACGAGAAGTGCACCTACACGGCGCTCTACTATGCGCTGCTGGCCATGCGGGAACACATGGTAATCTAGCTTAGACCATGCCATAAATGAATGACTATTAGCCAAACTGTAATTCCAATCCTCAGCGTGAGCATCTGGTCACTAAACTGGCCATTCCACGTCTGGGCTGTGGCATCGATCGTTTGGATTGGCTGCGCGTGCGCAGCCTGCTGGAGCTGGTGTTCGTGCGTGATGGCGTAGACATCATTGCCTTCTTCTATCAGCCGCCCAGCATGGAGCGCGATACCATCAAGGTGATCTGTCCCACCTGCAGCCACATGAAGCTCATGCAGCTGCCGCGCAGCGTCAGCTCCTCGCGAAACTCGCTGCACAGGGAGAAGACGCCCTTCTGAGTGGCAGTTGGATAAATGGGATTTCTTTGTATATATATACATATACTATATATAATTCTTAATTTATAACATTCGAAATGGGTTGGCATGGGTTGCAGGGCACCAAATGCACCGTTACTTATAACTAGTTCTTAGCACAAGAAAATTACATTTATTTTACGAATATTTATATGCAATACATACATACATACATAATATATTGACAGCAAATAAAAAGACAACGCCTGAAGCTGGCTTTAAACGAAGAAAATGTGTTTTACAGCATGATTAATAGAGTTTAGAAATATTCTATGTAGTAGGCCATGATTCAACTGTCTCTACATGTATATATAAGGCTCGGTAATTGCTTGACAGTTCAGTTCTTGCCTGAGGCTCTCAGTATCAATTGCTCGACTTTTCACTCTCCGAAAGGAAAATAATTAAATACGAAAATGTCTTCTCTTAAAGTTGCAGAGATTCGTAACGCCTTTCATCGTTCGTTTGTGCGGAGCATGACTGGCTTCCAGTTCAACGAGGTGGATGGGGATCTCTTCTCGGCCCCGAAGACTCACTCGCTGGCCCATTGCGTGGGCGCTGACCTGGCCATGGGCGCGGGCATAGCGGTCAAATTCAAGGAGATCTACGGCAAAGTGGACGAGCTGGAGGCACAGAAGGCGCGCGCCGGGGAGCTGGCACTGCTGAAGGATGACGAGCGTTACATCTACTATTTGGTGACCAAGTCGCAGAGCTGGGCGCTGCCCACATACGAGACGTTGCAGTCATCGCTGGAGAAGATGCGCGATCACATGGTAAGCAAGTCCTTATTAATATTCATATGAGATATGTAATCTTTCATCTACTTGCCCGCAGGCCAAGAATGACGTTCATAAGCTGGCCATACCGCGCATCGGCTGCGGCATTGATGGCCTGCAGTGGGACAAAGTGAAAGCCATTATCAACGATGTCTTCCAGCGCGAGGATGTGGAAATTACGGCTTACAACTTCGTGCCGCCACAGGAAACCCAATAATTGAATCAATTCTTAAATTTATTGTTCACAAACTCTAGTTCCTCTATTTATTTGATGGTGGTGCATAATTATAGACTTTCAATTCAATAGAATTCGATTGAAATATCTCTGCCAGCATTTCTCGTACTTTACTCCAGCGAAGACCGTCCAGGCCGCAGCCAATCCTTGGCAGAGCCAACTTGGTAACATTATGTGCAGCCTGTTGAAGACGAAAACTGTTATATTGGATATACATAAGCTAGCAGAGCTCTTACCATATGCTGTTGCATGGCACTTAGGGAGCTGTGGAGCAGCTCATAGGTGGGTTTGCCCCAGCTGCTCAGCTTCGTTATTAAATAGTAAATGTAGCGTCCATTATCTCTCAGGATAGCCACGCCGCCTGGTTTCACATTTTGCTTTTGCAATTCAGCAACTTTGCCAAATTTATTACTGTAAAAAAAAAAATGATTGAAATTCAGAGCAATAGAAATTCGCTAAATAAACTTACCGAAACTTGACGGCAATGCCCTTGCCCATGCGCAGATCGGCGGCGACGCAATGACACATGGAATACTCGGGACCTGCCGAAAATAAGTCACCATTGACTTCTCTCAGTTTGAAATCTGACATAGTCACACTCAGCTTTAGGCTTCCATCAGAATAAAATCATTCAAGTCGATTTCCAAATATTGCCGCGCGAAAGCACGCGACGACGTTGACATGCGAATGGCAAGAACGGTAGAATAAACGAAACAGCTGATGAATTGGCTCTGCAGAATGGGTAAGTGTTGAAAAGTAATAAAAGGTGGGGTAGCAGCTGCAAGCTGGTAACTGCTCCAATTGAATGAATGATTGGCAGATTGCAACTGAAAGCAGAAATAAATGAATATATAATTATAATAATATGTGTAAAAATAAGTTATTCAAATGCATAATGCATATTAAATGTATAGTTCAATAACAAATACAAAAAATACCTTGCGATACCAGTAGTATTTAATCACAGCTGTGATATAATACCAAAAAAATACCAGTGTTTGATAACAAAATTAAAGGTGCAATTTAGATAATGTAAATTAAAGTTTGCCTTTGGGTTGTTAAATGAGTTTCATTTTTAATTTTATTGCCGCTTTTGTACGCAAAATGCTGGAGCTGCTGCAAATTGGGGGAAAATTAACGCACACGCTGAGCATTTACGTGAAAACCAATACGGGTCGCACGCTGTCCGTGAACTTGGAGCCGCAGTGGGACATCAAAAACGTTAAGGAGCTGGTGGCGCCGCAGCTGGGTCTGCAGCCAGACGAAGTGAAAATTATATTTGCTGGCAAAGAGCTTAGCGATGCCACAACCATTGAGGTAGGCGAGAGGTGCAATAGAATAACAGAACTATATAGTATGAATTTTAATTGCAGCAATGTGATCTTGGGCAGCAGAGCGTGCTGCACGCCATTCGTTTGCGTCCGTCTGTGCGTGAGCGCAAGGCCAGCGCCCTAATGGAGGAGGAGTCAAGTCCGGAGGAGCCGTCAAAGCCGTTAAATGAAACGTTGCTCGACTTGCAGCTGGAGAGCGAGGAGCGTTTAAACATCACCGACGAGGGTGAGCAACAGCTGCATTTAGCTAACTGAGCACTGTTTACCTCTCACGCACCTTCGCAGAGCGGGCGCGTGCCAAGGCGCATTTCTTTGTCCACTGCGGCCAATGCAATAAACTATGCAAGGGCAAACTGCGTGTGAGATGCTCTCTGTGCAAAGGCGGCGCCTTCACAGTGCATCGGGATCCCGAGTGCTGGGATGATGTGCTCAAACCGCGTCGCATACCCGGCCACTGCGAGAGTCTTGAAATTGCGTGTGTGGACAACGAGGCGGGTGACCCGCCCTTTGCCGAGTTCTACTTCAAGTGCGCCGAGCATGTCTCGGGCGGTGAAAAGGATTTCGCTGTGCCCTTAAATCTAATTAAGAACAACATTAAAAATGTGCCGTGTCTAGCCTGTACGGAGGTGAGGTGAGTACTACATCAGCTCTTAGATGTCACTCTTACCGACCTCTTTGCAGTGAAACCGTACTGGTCTTTCCCTGCGCCTCACAGCACGTCACCTGTATCGATTGCTTCCGCGACTATTGTCGCTCACGTCTTAGCGAACGCCAGTTCATGCCGCATCCTGACTTTGGCTACACACTGCCCTGTCCTGCTGGCTGTGAGCATTCCTTCATTGAGGAGATTCATCACTTTAAGCTGCTTTCCCGGGAGGAGTATGAACGCTACCAGCGCTTTGCCACCGAAGAGTTCGTGCTGCAGGCCGGTGGCGTGCTCTGCCCGCAGCCAGGCTGTGGCATGGGCTTGCTTGTCGAGCCCGACTGCCGCAAGGTGACCTGTCAGAATGGCTGTGGCTATGTCTTCTGTCGCAATTGCCTGCAAGGCTACCACATTGGCGAATGTCTGCCAGAGGGAACCAGCGGGGCTGCTTCCAACTCTTGTGAATACACTGTCGACCCGAATGTGAGTAACTACTGCCTTACAAGTGCTTGTATAATCCTTGTATTGTATATCTCACAGCGTGCTGCTGAAGCTCGTTGGGAGGAGGCCAGCAATGTAACAATCAAAGTGAGCACCAAACCCTGCCCGAAATGTCGCACGCCCACAGAACGGGATGGTAAGTTGCAGATTATGACTTATACAACAGTATTCGCCAAGCCTTCCTTCCACTCCTTCCAGGTGGGTGCATGCACATGGTCTGCACACGCGCCGGCTGCGGTTTCGAATGGTGTTGGGTCTGTCAAACAGAATGGACGCGGGACTGCATGGGCGCCCACTGGTTTGGCTAAGAGTACGTTTTGTCTTGAGGACAAACTTTGTTAATTGTTTTTATTCATGTTCTACATCTGCTGGCTGTATTTGAAGACTGTTCAAAGTTATTTGAAAGAAAAGTGCATGTGTAGGTTAATCTGTAGTCCTCCACCAAGTGGCAAATAAAATTGTAAAAGTTATAAACCAATTATATTGTGATATATGTGTAAATCAGACTATGTAGAGTGTAATATATATTATATTATAAGTATAGCCATATAAATATCATTTTTTTCATTCATTCATTTTACTTCCTTTGCCAGTTATCGCCTTTACCTTCACACCCTGTATGCCGTCTAGCGAATCAATAACAAAAACACCCTTGACTAACTGCGTCTAACTGGGTATTTCACCATCCATCTGCAGCACCCTACCCCACTGTATTATGGCGTTGCGTGCGCACGCTTTGTTTACGTTTTTTTTTTTCCTTTGCTGCTTAACCTCTGTAAGGCTGTCGCCCACAATATTTTTGGTGGCTTTGCTGTTGACTGTAAAAACCGCAAAACACAGCACGTGCATCTGGAGAGAGCGAGACTGCGAGAAAGCGCCTCGTACAGTTAGGCAGCAGTAAGAGCTCGCCCCAGCTCTCTCCCAGATTTAATCAATAAAAATGGCGCGTATTGACCGTGTATATCTACATATGTATGTGTGACTATATGAATGACTATGTATGTTTGCATTTTTCCGGCATTTATTTAAATACATAAGCTGTTATCGACTTAATGTTGTTATGCCACCAGTACTGTATGCCCCCTAATATGCGCTATAGTTTTTATCGTCTCTGGTAACATCAATAAAGCGGCCGCATACATACCCATTGATAACATGACTAGCACTGAACCAGGGAAACCCCCCGGGCGCTAGCTATTTGGCTGCGCACTCGCTCTCTTTCTACTCGGTCACCTTCTCGTGCGCATTTTGTTTGCATGTGTGTGTGGTGTTTCCTAGTTTTTGTTTTGGCTCGCTCTGTTTTTGTTCGGTTTCTGTTTTGTGCTCTAATTTCGTAAGCAAAGTAAGTGAATTTACAAATGACATTTGCGCGAGAGAGCGTTTTCGCCCCATTGCAATTGCCAACTGCGCGCTCTCTGGCACTCTCTCTTGCCCGTTGCCCGTTGCCCATTGCCTCCTTCACTCTCTCCCTAATGCGGCCTCAGTGAAAGCTCACGCGCTCGCTCGCCCCGTAAGCAGCGCGTGTGTGTGGGCAGGTTGCCCATCGAATCGGGTCACACAGTTTGCGCTGGGTTCCCAGTGCAGCACAGCGGTTGGGCCGATTCTTTGTTGCTGTTGTTGTTGCCTTTTCCTCGCTTCTTTTCGCTATTGCTATTGCTTCTTCCCCCTTTCTATGTTGGTGTCGTTTCGCTGCTTTTTCGCCGCCGTCTTTTGCCAGCTTTGCTTCTTTATATTTCGGGGGTACGATGGCAACACTGCTGAGGCTGGCAGCCAGTGTATAAATGGTAGCGCGCCAGCCGTATCGCATTTCAGTCTACGTTGGACTTTGGCGCGCGTCGTACACGCAGCGCATACGTAACGCATTTACATTCAAGGGTTAAACAGTCGGCACCGCCACCACCACTTGGCAATGCCCATGTGAATTCGAGTGTGTGTGTGTGTGTTTGTACATGTGTACATGTGAAGCTGAATACGAACGCGAATTTGTCTACGAGTGTTTACCGTTTGATCGTTTGCCTCTCTTCGATTTTTGTGCTGCGAGAGTGCGAAGAGTGCCAATGCATGAGAGAGCTCTTGAGTATTCACAATATATAAGTATTTTGAATTCGTATGCAACACTCTAAATATAACGGTATTTTGAATTGAATAGATAAAAACTGGCATTTCATATTTAAAAACAAAAAGTGAAATCATTTACTAAAAAATAAATAAACTTTTTGTGAATCATTTAGTTTCAAGTGAATTTTTCGGTAAGTTTATATATGCATGCATATACATATACATACTTTAAATTAAATTATACTTAATTTGTTCATTCCATTTAAATTGTATTTGATATATTTTAAAAAATATTAGAAATTTTTTAAAAATTATTATTTTTTAAAACAGCTCTTCCAGCTGCACTGCCCCATATCCTATGCTGCATTTTTTTCACACATTCAAAGCTTGCGCTCGTTCACGCACTTGCCCCAATTATCGAAAAGCATCAATAACAACAACAAAACAGTAATGCATTAGCAACAGCAGATGCACGCACACACTCGCAGCCCTACGCAGCTCTCAGTTAAAATTGCATTAAAAAAAAAAAAACACTGCAACATACATTCGGGCACTGTCAATATTTGCTAGCTCAAGTGCGCTCGCATATCGTGACGTATACGAAGCGACGTCAACGTAACAATTACTACATATGCGTACGCTAGTGTGTGTATGTGTGTGAGTACATACTTGTACTTGCCTGTGTACACCACTAGCATCAGAGCTTGGCAACAACTGGGAAACTGTTAAAAAAGTGGAGAGCATAGCAAAGCATTAATGAAGCTGCGCTGAGCAGGCAGGCAGGCAAACAGCTCGACTCGATTCGGCGTGGCTGCTGCTGCCGCTGTCGCTATCGCTGACGCTGCTACTGCTCCTCCGTTTGTTTTTATTGATTTATATGCGCTAGAACTGGGCGGCTGTTGCTGTCGTCCCAAAGCAGTACGCGGCCCACACACAAACATACATACATAGGTATGTATATGCTTACAGGCAGCATCTCATGCCATACAGCTTCCGTTTCCTGCTGTTCACTTGCAACGCATGAGCGTGGAGAGAGCGCGAGCAAGAGCGGACTACTTGGCACCTAAGACCCCATTGCAGTTGCTCAACACATTTGCGAGGCTCATTTCATTTACAGTTCTTTTCGTTTCTTTTTTACAGTTTTACAGCTTGACACACGCACTTAACATAACCCGTTTCAATTGGCTCTCGCGCTCTCTGCCGGCTGTGTGCTCTCTTTTGCCTTGCTCTGCTCTCTCAGCTTTTAGCGGCGCTTGTTTACATTTACATTGATTATGTTATTCTGCATGGGCGCGCGTGTGTGCATGTGTGTGAGTGTCTGCTAATAGAGTTGCTGCTCTGTTGCCCCCACTCCACTCTCTCCTCTCATCGCCTCTACTTTGGCTGTTTTGCTAATTTCTTTTTGCCGCCAGCCAGCAGGACATCTTCAAAGTCACCGAATCAATAAGTTGACACACCCAATGCATCATAATGCCAATGTAACCATTGTTTCAGTTTTTGGTTTTAGGTTTAAATACATATAAAAGCGAAGATATTGGACCTATTCAATAATTGGCATGAGTCAGTCATTACACACAGCTTCACAGTACTGGTATCGCTTCGACCAACCAGCCACCCACTTAATATTCCCTTGCGCTCTCTCTTGCACTTTGTCTCTCTTTCTCTGTCAGCCTGTATGCACTTTTGTGGCTCATTAACGGCTTGCGTGAGACCAAAATGCCTTGCGGTTTTCATGCATTCATCTTAGTGCACAAACACACACGCAGACACTCTCTCCCTCTCTCTCTCATCCACACACACAGTGCGTGGTTAGCTTGCTATGTTAAGTAGCCATTTGTTGTTATTGCCTTTGCTGTTGCACAGCAGCTGCCCAATCATCCTTTACAGCTAAACAAGCATTCATCCCATCATCTATCTTTGTCTTCTTCTTCCCATTCATCAATGCAAGCCACATTTATGCCAAATACTTAAATTACACATTTCTAACTTGCATTTGCAAATTTCTGTTAATTGCTTTGTCTCCCCTAAAGGTAAAACGTCTCTTTCTGATGCTTAAAACTTAGCTCGACAGATGCAAATCTTAACATTCTGTTATCTGCTAATACAAAATGGAAAACAAATTATAACAGTCCGATCATTTCTAAGCAAATACCAAGGAAAAGTCCCCAATTCAAGTGAAATTTACCTAAATATTCATTGCATACTTCAAGGCGCCCGCTCTTACAGACTCTCCATAGACTTGCTTGGCCATTGACTTCATTTAATGCCAATTTGGCAGCAGCTTCTGATGTTAGAGCGCTGTCTCATTATGCCGTACACACATGGCATATCCTGCAGCTTTATTGTCTTGCGAAATGAGCATTAAATGTTATTGTTTAACATTAATTGAATTGTGGACGCATGTGAGCTGAGCAAATTAACGACGGACACCTAACCCCAACTCTGACTCCGACTCCGACCAATGAAATATTTAAGCTTTAAGTGCAGGCTAACATTTTACACGTTTTATTCTTGCTTGCAGGCGCCTTTAAGGACTGAACAGCAAGGCAGACAGCAAAAGGACAGGGCACACGTCAGTCGAGTATAAAATCAATAAGAGACACATGTAATTGGATAGCCCCGGCATTGGCAATATGGCCGGCCCAGCAACTGCTAAGGGAACGGGGCAGTCAACTTTGCCGTTGTTAGTGTTAGTGTGGCTGTTGCACGAGCGGCGCCACTAAGCTGCAAGGACACACACAGCTGGCTAACATGTCGGACAGATACGCCGCCGGCTACTACGAGCAACTGCACCCGGCTCAGGCTCAGACCCAGGCCCAAGCTCAGGCCATGTCTCACTATGCAGCACCTGGTTATCGCGGCGGCTATGGCGGCGCCTACAATCCCTATGGCTATGGCTATGGCAGCTCCAGTCCGGGCCCCGCTCCTGGCTCCGCCTCTTATATGTCCAGCTACTATCGCTATGCGCCCTACGCTTCGCCCCACTACAGTCAGCCGTCGCCGCATCAGCATCATCATGCGAGCATGTTCACGCCCGCTGGCCAGCAGCTGATCCCCTCCAGTGTGCTACACTATCCACCTCGCCCACATGCGCAACATGCCTATCAGCAGCAGCAGCTCCACCAGCAGCAGCAACACCAGCACCAACATCAGCTTCAGCAGCACCAGCAACACCTGAGCAGCAGCAGCAGCTATGAGCAGCCAACGCCTGCGCCTTACAGTGCTTCCGCCTTTGGTCAGGCACGCGGCTTTGCCGCCTATCAGCCAGCCACGCCCACGCACTATGCAACGCCCGGACGTTCAACGACGCCGGCACCGAATCGCACAGTGTTGCCGCCCAACTATTTGGAGCCATTACGCAACTACACAGAGCAGCATCAGCAACAGCAACAGATGCAACTACAACAGCAGCAACTGCAGCAACAGCAACAACCCAAGCTCGAGGAGCTGCAACCAGAGCAAATCAAGCTGGAGCATGAAGCGGAGGCAGCTTCACCCAGCCAAAGGTTAACCACATCGCCTCCACTGATCAGTGCCACCGGCACCGATAGCGGCATCAGCAATTGCAGCACACGAGCACGTAGCGACAGCAGCCAGAGCACGCCCGTCTACAGCGGCGATTATCCAGTGAATATGTCCGTGGAGTCCGCATCCTGTGTGTCCTATCATTGTCCAGCTGATGGGAGAGACTACGAAGAAGAACAACAGCAGCAGCAGCAGCAACAGCAGCAGCAACAACAGCAGCAGCAACAACAACATCAGCAGCAGCATTTGGAGGCAGCAGCTGTTGTCGATATGCCCGGTAAGTTGTCAGCATTTGCATTACGCTCCATTTAATGTACAATTATGCAGGGGGCCGCGGAATGATTGAAAATTTATGCAAACATATGGCAGACTAGATTATGTAACAAGCATTTAAGCCCTCCCAATTGCAGTTAAAGCAGCCGAAGCAGCAGTGTAAATCATGCAACGTATTTTATGCACTGTGGTCTGCTGTTAAAATTAAATACTTGCTGTTAAAATAGACATAGACAGTTAACAGCGTAAGTTAACTGCAAAACGGTTAAGCCAAAGAGAGTTTGACGTAAATATAAGAGTGTGGCAGAATTTTAATGCCAGGGCTAACAGAATACGATCATATAAGAGAGAGAGATAGTGAGGGAGAAGGTAAAAAGGAGCTTACGGCTGCATGCAAAGTTACAGAATAAGTCTCTGTTAATGCTTGCATGTATGAATGTAAACTTCGCAGAAAAGCCAAAACAGGAGTTTTGGCACCAGCTACAGCTAAAAGAACAAATCGAGAGTGAGAGAGTGCGACCTTTGACATTTTTGAGTATTTAACAAACTTTTAATAACTCAATTAAGCAACTAAAACTTGCTTAATCAAACTGGAACTAAAAGCACATATTATACATAACTTTTCACATCACATTTTCTATTCAATTATAAATGGCCAGCTGGGCAGAGTTTCCACTGTGCTGGCTGTCCACTGCACTATGGGTCAAAAGCCCGATTTTTTGGAAAAAAGTCTCATTTTCAAGTTGAAAAAATTTACAAAATTTTAATGCCAATCCATTAAGAATACCCTATATGTAAATGTTACATACTCAGAATTTTAACAGAGGCGCGATCTGCTAACAAAACTGCTGTTAAACAGAGCTGTTATGCATGACACGCACATTATCAAGTTTGTAAAAAACTTTATATGAATTTCAATGGCCAATTGAAATAAAAATAATGGCAATTAGATTCAAATTTTTAGTGGCAAGTATGGAATAGGGCTTGTTCTTTGTTTTTACGTGTTTATATTGTCCAAAATCTTTATGTGATGTGAAGTTTTGTGTAAGTCAAAAAGCTGTCTTTGACATCATTTAAAAAAAAAATGTTTGTCTTTGATAAAAGATAACTTGTGTTTGTAGCATTTTGTAACAATGAAACTACGCCCATTTTATAGAGTATTCAATTCCGAACTTAGACCTATAAGTTCAACGTGCACTTTTGCGCACTTTTTGCGCAATTTCATTTTTCAGCAACTAACCTCGTCGCAGATGAGGAAGAGGAAATAAGCCTGTTCGAAAGGCAGGACTTTTCGAATTTTGAGGTTTATGGCATACTAGCTTCAGATAATGAAGAATACGATGATTAACAATAAAAGAGATATATTTTAATGTTATTTGTGCTTAAAATCATAAAATATAACCTTTTATTCCTTGAAACATTTTTTTGTCAACTTCTACATACAAAAACTATATGATATAGTTAACCGATTTTGATAATTTTTTTACAGGATCTTTAAAACATGAAAACACATCTAATATGTGAATTTGGTGTAAATATCTTAAAAAGCAAAAAAGTTATGACAGCTAATAATATGAAAGAGAGGCGGTGCCACACCCATTTTTTCACCAAAAACGAGTGTTGCGAACGAAAGTCAAATGCAAAAAAACAAATTTAATTATCTTGACTAGTTCAAAAGTTATTAATTATTTCCAAAAAAACGGGCTTTTGACCCATAGTGCACTGCTTGTAAGCCAAGCCACTGCGTATACTTGATTTTGCATGCAAATGAATGCAAAGAGCGTCCATTTGAGTCGCCATCAACGCTCTGCCGTCAGCCTCATCAGCAGCAGCGGCAGCAACTGTCCGTCAGCCAGCCATTTGACACGACATGACGGTCAGTTGAGCAGTTGGGTAGACGAAAGGAAAGTATAGGGCTGAGCAGAGAAGAGGAGAGTAGAGCAGAGTCGACATTTTGCAAACACTCAACCAATCAGCGTTGGTTAACTGCTCAAATGCTTCCGCTTCCTGTCGCAACGACTTAGCACAAGGTGGCGTGGGCTCTGTCGGCTGTCGACTGTTCGCTGTTAACTGTGACGAGCCTACGTCATGTTGCTTTAAAGGACTTGAAAATTAGCTGTCTATTTAGGCACGCAAGGCACTGGCAGTCGGGCTCGTGGGGCTTTGGCTCTCCCCTTTGATGAGCTGATTCTGATTTGACTTTTTGGCGGAGGCGTGTTTGGCGAATCAATAAGTTAACTTGGCTGATGTCGCGTCACACACACAGTTGAACGATGGCAAGTGGAAGGAAGGTGTTAAGTGTGCAAGGGAGTATCACCCACACTCACACACACACACACACTCGCGCGGTGACCCTAACTCCACAGTTTGACAGCTTTCCCTAAATATTTCCTAATGCGAACGAGACTTGTGGGCATGGCCATTGCTTATCAATGGGCGCTCAACTTACACACACACAGGCACATGCACAAATAATCTTTGAGGGTGTGTGCGTGAAATGTCATCACAGCGGAGCATGTAAATGAACTTTACAACGCAATGTGGTGGGTTATTTGTAGCCGCTTGCTGTTTGTCCAATACACACAGAGACAAACGCACAGACACACGCACACAAACACATACATATAAAGAAGAGACACCCTGGAACATGGGGGCTGTTCATGCAATATTTGCTGTAGAGGTACCCAACATTGACGCAAAAATCAATGTCCGTTATGACAAGTCAACTGTAGTACGAGAAAAAAAAAACAGCAACAGCAAAGGATGCGCAATAAGCTGAAAGCTTATGCTAAGAGTAGTTTGGATAGAGATTATATAGCTTAGATATAGAATATGATTTAAAATGAGCAGAGCAGAGAGACCAAGAGTTGCTTTATCTGCTTGAGCTCAAAAAATCTACAAAAATAACAGTTTTTTTTAAATTAAACTCCTATATAAAATATTTCACATTTATATATAGAAATAAGATTCTTATTATCAACTGAAATCATTTACCAACTAACTAAAATGTGTAAAAGGAATTATGATTAATAAAATTTATTTAATTCATTGAATTCATTGAATTCATATTTAATTCATTGAATTATTGTCATTGCATTAATAACATTGTCTTAGGCGAAAGCCCAAAATGTTCTATAGACATGATCTTCGATTAAAACTAAGTAAATAAAAAGTAAAAAGTTAACAAAAAAAAATCAATTTTATATTTTTGATCATTAAAATGAGCTATATTCTATAAATTCCTTAGTGTCTTATTTATTGTTTATTCAATTATATAACTATATACATTTTATTATACAAAAAAAATTTATAGAACTTCAAATAAAATATATGCGCGAGCTAATGATAATAAAAGATTAATAAAGTAATATAGTTATTCAATCAACTATTATTAAGCTAATATGCTCGCACCCACGCGCTATTATCAGCCTTTAAATTGATTATAATTGATTTATTTGACGTGAATGCCATTACAATAACAACAATAGCAACAACAACAATTCAAATCGAATATCGCGACTCGTCGCGCTGGCCACAACAACAAATACGTAAACAATGCGAGCCCAGTCGCATGCGCTGAAAAGTATGCTATAAATTTTTACACGCCGACTTACCGACGAATGTAAGTGAGTGTGTGAGCCCTGCATATGCATGTGTGTGTGTGTGTATGTGTTTGACACGTTCAACAAGTGCATGTTGATGTGTCGGTTACACACACACATACCTCACTGCTCTCAATCTCATACTCTCTCGCTCTCTCTGACCGAGCTTTACTCTCTTAGCTACCCCCGTTAGAAAAAAATAAATATAAATAAAACAAATTTGATAAGCGAGTGCGAAAAAAACAACAACAGCAGCCACGAAAGCTGCGACTCTCTCGCGCTGGTCAACCTGACTGAACCTTTGTCTTTTTAACCCTTGATAGCCGCCAGCACGCATGACAAAATAATTACAAAACGCCTCAAAAATAATATGCGAAAAATATAATACAAAAAAAAATGTGGGAAGGCAATCTTTATTGATTTTTATTTAACACACGCTGCCTGCTTGGGCGGGCGCCTTTTTTTTGCCAATTTTCCAGATGACATAAGCACGACGGCAGCGACGTCCACTCCCACGTCGACATCGACGTCAGCGTCAGCGTCGCCGCCTATTGTGAATGATACTGATAAGGCGGGCCTTGCGGAGCAGCCGGATGTTGTGAACCGTGCGGAAATCAATTTGGCGAAGCCCAACAAGCAGACACCAACAACACCAACAGCAGCAACAACAGCGCCACAGGATATTGGGGAGCAGCAGTCAGCAGCTAATCAAATCAACGATGATGCAGTCGGGGTAAGTTGGCGCAAAATTACAAATTAAAACTGCAGTCGAAAGGGGGATGAGGCAGGGGGAGGCAGTGATAGCAGGGGGCATCTGACTTGTCTAATTAAGCAACAGACAGGTGACAGCAGCGCCAACAGCGGCAACAGCAGCAGCAGCATCAGTAGCAGCTCAATTAGGCAACGCAGCGCCACGCAGCTGCCATGACAAATTAGGGCAAAGCAACAAAAAAGGAGAGGAAGAAGAATCAGAAGCAATGTAACGACAGACTGATAATGACAGACTACAATGATGCCCCGTTACAACAGCAGCAACTGAAGCAGCGCAGCAGCAGCAGCCGCCGCAGCAGCCGACTCAAAAGAGAAGACCAAAAGCGAAATGCGTTTAGCTCCATCGACCGGCTTTCTAGGCAGAGAGCGACACCAGACAGACAACAGAGAGCGAGCGCACTAGCGAGTGAGAGTGCGCAAAAGTGAGCGTGCGCAAGTAAAGAGAGCGGCACACAAGCCGAAAGCCTTCGAACAGGGTGACTCATGAAGCGCAGCTCCTTGACAGAGCGCGCTAGCTAGCCGGAAGCCTTACTACAGGGTGCCTCTGCAGCAGCAGCAGCAGCAGCAAAAGCGGGCGCCTATTGATTTTTGGGTGAACTTCAATGGGCTGCTGCTGTTGTGCTTGGCGGTGGGCTGGCTGGGCGGAGTTGCCTGGGTTGGGTTGCTTGACAACACAAGCTATGAGCACGCGCCTCACAGGGCACCTTTGCTGGCAAGTTTCAAGTGCCCGCCACTTGAGCGTAACAACTTTTTGTGCTGCAACTGCAAACTAAATCGATTTTTTTTTTTTTTTTTTTTGCTTGTTCTGTTTACAGCAGCTGCTACCAACAGCAGCCACAACAGCAACGGGAGCTACGCACAACTGGAGTCCGGCATCGAGACGGTCACGCACGCCGCCCGCGCCGCAGAACTCACCCGTCGGCTATGGGCTCTCAGCAGCTGTTGCTACAAACGCTGTGCCACCTGCGCTGGCGCCCCTGCTGCAGCAGCAGCAGCAGCAGCATCAGCCATCGCTGAGCAGCAAGCGCAATGCCAAAAATCGCAACAACAACAATAACAGCAACACAAACATCAACAACAACAACCGCATAATCGAATGCGATCTCATACCGAGCAAGAAATCAAAACGCAAGGCGAGCAAACGGGAAACGGAAACGGAAATGGAGCATGTAGAAGCCATGGAGTCCACAGTGCGCGAACAAATAAGGGTGAGACCAAACACGCACGCACACACACACACACGCATGCACACTGAAGCTAAAGAAATGGCTTTTAAAAAACATGAATACCCCTACCTCAAGCAGCAGCAAATAGCTTAAAAATGTTCTTGTTAAAATTGTTAGACTAAAACAAAACTACTACTACTACTAAAATAATAACAGAATTCGATTTTTTACATTTTTTATTTCGAAATTATTTTTTGATAAGAGAAGTTTTTAGTATATTTATGAAAAAGCCTTGTTAACATAGATATATCATGGCAGGCAAGACATGCACTCGAAGAGCTCTTAAATTAGGTTTGTGGAATGCTTTTCGGTAATTTCAATTGACAGATTTTGAGGAAATGTAACAGCCAACAATAGTTGTCTCTCGTTTCTTCTCTTAATCATAGAATTCTGTTACTTATTACTAATCCTATCGAAATCTACCCATCTATATTTTGTTGTTCATGCCTGAACACCCTGTGCAAAGCTCAATTTTGAAAGTAAATAGGATATAAGCATCGATTGATATTGTATGTAGCATTTTGTACAGGGTATATACCAGGCGAACAACAACAACGTTTACAGCTAAATTCACGCAGCAACTGATTCAATATTGTTTCCTCACAGGATATCAAGCCTTTGCCTGGCTTTCAGCAGGCGTTCGGCTCCACCGAAATCGGGCGCTTCTCGGAGCGTTTTCTGCAAACGCCCGAGAGTCTAGTCGAGCGACTGGCCGAGGAATACGCAGCAAGTTACAGCAGCAACATCAGCAGCAGCAGCAGCAGCAGCAGCAACAACAGCAGTTGCAACAACAACACCAACAACAACAGCAACTATGGCAGCAACATGGGCAACAGCTACTACGATGCCCCAATTGGTGGCAACATGCACGGCTATTGGCCATACGAGGAGCAGCATGGCTATGGCTATCCGAGTCCCGGTCACCACGGTCACAGTCAAATGTCGCGCAGTCGTATGCGTGGCCAGCTGTATCCCTACTATGCGGCGGACTATGCGGCGTATGAGCGATACGGCTATGCGGCCTACAGTGCGGCGAGCAGAGCGCGCTACAACGAGATACGCTGCAATGGCTACTGAAAGAGCTCACAAAAGAAAAAAAGAAAAACAAATAATATATATATATATAGAGTATATATATATACATATATGGATAACCTTGTCGTTTTGTCATTTAAAGAAAAGAAATTCTCTCTGTGTGTGCCTTTTTCGGTCAAAATACGGCAATGCCCCGCCCCGGAACAGATTGTAGAGTATTTTATTGTCGGGCATTGCTGGCGTTGATTGCGTGCAAAATTCGTATAACAAAACAAAAAAAAAAAATAAAGTAAAAAAACGAAAAACAGTAAAAAAAAAAAATAAACAAACAAGGCCAAAATGTAAATTGATAAGTAAGCGTTAAGTAGTTGAATGTTGAATGAACACACAAAATGTTTGCCATTGGAGCAACCGAATTGTCCCACTGTACATACTCGTAGAGCAATGCATTTCGTTCTCTCGTTTTCGTTTCTAAGCAATTTCTCTGCGTAATTAATTATAATTAGTGAAAGATGTGCCATTGAAAAGAACTTTGATGCGACAAAAATGAAACGACTTTTACGTTTTGTTAGTTATATAATATATATATATATATATATATATATATATATATGGTATATATACAACAATACATATTACAACGGTACTTAATTCAAGTTTTTAATTTTAATTTGTAATTAGTTAAAGCAAAGCACTAAATATTTCAACTTGATTTTCTTCATTTTCCTTTTGTACTTCTCCAATTTCAATTGCTAAACAATTATTATTTTTTAATTTCATTTCGATTTAAGTGCCTTAATTTAGTTACATTATAGAAAAGAAAAAAACGATTTTAGATTTTTGACAAATTTTTATCAGTTTTAATGTATAAAAAACCAGTTCAGGTTTCAAAAGGGCCCAACAAAAAGTAATGAATTAAAAACAAATCCAAATCTAAAAAAAAAAGAAAAGAAAAAAATAACACATCGATAAAACATTCAAAAATGTTTTTTAGTCAAATCATGAAATAAAAAAAAAATATATTAGTTGTTAATTAAAAAATTATTCACACAAAAAAAAAAAATAAAAAATAAAATGAGAACAAAAACTTCGTAGTGTTGAAATTTTATGACAAATATTTTCAAGGTTTAAAAAAAGAAAAAAAAAAACAAAACAAAAAATTATATATACATGTAGTTAATTTTAAGTCCTTGTGTAAATAAAACAAATATTTGAACGTTTAAATTTTATGAGAAAAAAACAAAATAAATCAAGAATCAAATTAGCAAAAAATTGAATTTTTTATTACTGTAATAAAAGCCAAACGAATTGATTTATATATTTTGGGAGCGTTTTTTAATGTTTTTATTTTTTGCTTGTCTTGTTTTTATTTTTTAACAGTTTTGTTTTTATTTTTATTGATTTAATTAATTTATAAATATTATTACATAACCTAGAAGTGTGTTGTTTTTTGTTGTTTTATTAAATAATTACAAAAATAGTTTTTCTTGTAAAAACAGCAGAAAATTGTGTAAATTAGTTTTTTTGTAGTTGCTTTCTTCGAGTTGAGCGGAAATTAAAAAGAGAAAAAATATTTAGGTGTTTGCTTAAAGACTTAAGAACTAAAGGAAATCATATATGATTAAGTGACTCATTATTTATATATATATAAAAGAAATAGAAGAAAAGCTGCAAGAAAACTGATTACAATGTAATTGTGAGTGTGTGTGTGAGTGTGTGTGTGTTGGGAGACTGTTACGAGTTGGCTACAAGTTTCTCATTTTAGTTTTCTTTGAAGTATATAAATAGTTTGTTCTGTTTTGTTTTCGATTTTGTTTTTGTCTTTGCCAGTTTTTGTTTTCTTTTTTTAATCGTAATAAACAATTACACAATTATTGAATTTGTTAGCATTATTGCCTTGATGCTGATGACGATGTTACTCATCCATCAGTAATAATTAAGTTTATAAATTAATTAGTGTGTGATTTATATCGTTTTTTTTTTTTTTTTATATATTTATATATCATCAATTGTGTTTTAGTTTATATGTATCGTTTTTTCTTTTTTTTTTAAGTTTTCTTTCTTTCTTCACTTTTTGCATAAGCTAAGAGACGACGTGTCTTTGTGTGTGGTGTTCGTGTGTGTGTGTGAGCTTTGGATGTTGGCTCGCAATCATGAGGACGATGCCGCCGAGGAGTTCTTGGTGGAGCCACCGGCCGAGTTGGAGTTGCGCTGCTTCTCAATGTACACGTTGAGTAGGCGCACTTTGCTGGGATTCATCACCGCGAGCTTCGGCTTGAGCTTCTCCTCGCCGAGCACTAGATACAGCTTGACAATGCAGAAGACCGCCGCTTTGCGCACCATCGACTGCAGATCGTCGGCGGATCGGGCCAGATTCGGAAACACTGTGTCCAGGTGGGCATCTGTTATCTCGGTGCCGTGCTGTTCGGTTACCTCGAGCAGAATTTTGATGGCGCACAGATTGGCTGGAAAGGCGCCCGTCGCAATCACCGGATTCACAATGTTAATGGTCAGATCCAGGGGCAGAGCTGGCGCTATTCGCGGTATCATCGTATCTATTTCGCGCAGCGCCTCCTTGCTGTGCTGATAGCAGTTCATGATCTTCAGCAGGATCAGCTCGAGGAAGTTTAGCCAATTGTGGCGCATCTTGTCGCTGCGCACAATCTTGCTGAGCACGTGCAGGCCAGCGATGATCACATCCGTATGCTCCGCCTCGAGCATGTGCAGCAGCATTCGCATTATCGACTTGAAATGCTTGTTGGGCAGCTCGCAGTTGCCGCCCCGTATGCAGATGCCCAGATTGGTCAGCGTCGTCTGCAGCTGCTCCACGGGCTGGTCCTTGTTGAGCGTCAGGGCGACGCGCATTACCTCGCTCTCGAGCAGATTGCCCGGCAGTATCAGCTCCCCGTTCTCCGCAACGAGCAGCGAAATCTTTGACGATGGCTGAGCTGGCGGAGCTGTTGTGTCCAGTCGCATCGTGGCCGATTCCGGCGTATTCGATTGCGTGGTGTTGGCCGACGATTGGGTTTTCGAATTCGATGACAGCGAGTCCTGCTGCGCTGTCAGATCTCGACCGGATTGCTGATGCTGCTGCTGCTGATCCATGGCGAATTGCAGATGGTGTCCGTTGTAGCCATTGGGCGCGAGCGATTGGTATTGGCCACCCGCGAAGCAGGAGCGTATCTCCTCGGAGGTCTTTTGTATATTGTGCTGCACCTCCAGCTCGGAGAAGCTATAGTTCACCTCCTGCTCCACAGACGATTGGCGTGAGCGCGGACTAGAATTCATGTGCATATTGAGCGAGGAGAAGGGACCAACACTCGGACTCTGCAGCGGCTTCGGGCTGCTGCTGCTCAGCGGCGAGCTGCTTGGCGAGTTGGCGCCGCTGCTCTGCCGCCGTATATTCGATTGGATGCACAGCCGTGCCGTATCCTGGTAGCCCTTGGGCAGTGCCGCCAGCATCTTCGTCATTTGCGGCGTATTCAGATTGTAGAGCGCCACCAGGCATTGCCGTGCCTGCGAGCGCAGCTCCATTGACTTGTGATCGCCCGCCATTTGGGCGAGCTTCAGGATGGTGCGCTCACAGCTCTGGTTCTGATCGCTGGGAAAGTCGCTGCTCTTGCCGTACGTGTTGACCAGCTCGGCCAGGAAGCGCAGAATGGCGATGCGTGTCTTTGTCGTCGGCGTCTGTGTGTTGTCCGAAATGATGCGGAACAGTTCCTTGAGCTGCAGCTGCGTCGGAAAGTATTCGTGGACCACCTGCAGAGTCTTCCAGATCTTGCTGTGCATCGAGTTGAGCAGATCGGTGCCCAGCTTATTGAACAGCCGCGTCAGCAGTATGAACAGCCAGTCGTGGAGCTCGGGTGCGTGCACCAGAATCAACTCAGTGACCGTATCTAAAAACAAAGAGTAGACTTTAGTGTGCGTGTCCATAAACATTTTGCGAAACATGTCCAGGACGCATTGCAGCTGCTGTTGCGTCAGCTCCTTGCCGTCGGCCAGATACTGGGTGAGACTGATCAGGCCGTCCTTGCGCTCGCCCCAGTGCGTGGAGGCGCAGTATTGGATAATTGTCTCAATATCGTCGAAGGGCGCCCGCTGCGTATTCCAATCCAGGCGATTCCGTGAGCCGCTCAGCGAATAGTTCGACATGGAGTTGTTGCCGCGCGTATAGCTCGAGTCAAAGGAACGCTCCGAGCACACTGAGCTCGCCTCCGAGTCAATATCGTCCGATTCATCGCGGCCCAGCAGCTTGCGTCCCATTCGGATGCCGCCGCTGCGCATAAAGTCGCCGGACACATAGTCCGGCATATCGCCATCTCCCGGGTTGCCGCCGCTCCCTCCTCCTAACGAGAGTTCTGCTTCGCGGGATTGGGCCAGCAGACGGGACGCAGCTGTGGTGCGCACGGGATTATTGCGTTCGGGTGTGCGTCGCGCACTGGAGCTGGTGGAGTAGATGCTGCGCTTCATCAGCCCGCCTCCGCTGCCCAAGCGACTGGGACTCGTCTCTCTGGAGCTGGCGGTGCTGCGCGGTATGCCGGATGCCTTTTTGGGTATGGCCCCCGTGGCACCGCCCCTGAAGTAGCCGCCCATGCCATAATGATCTCGCAGCTTGGTGCTCGGCGACGTGGAACGCGATCCGGGCTGGGATTGAGAGACGCCAGCCCGTGTGCGTCCGATCCGTGTGGTGGGCGTCACCGTGCCCGGCGAGACGTTCTGGTGGCCGCTATTGGAATTGAGGCGTGGCCGGGGCAACGAGCCGCCGCTCGCTGAGCTCGATGTTGCCGATCCAGCATGCAGATTGCTGTTCGTGACGGCCACCGCGGGTTTCTTCTGCCTCGAGTAGAGCGTGTATTGGGCCCGTGCCTTGGCGCGCTGTGCCGCCGCCGTGTCCACGGCGGAGATGGAGCGCATACTGGGCGTGGCCTTCTGCAGCGAGTTCGTGGTGCTGCGTCCAATGCGTGACGGTGCCACCGGGCGCTGCTGGACGCCACCGTTGGAGCTGGTGCTGCCACCGTCACGCTCCCGTTCCAGTGCCCGCTGCGCAGCTATGTCCAGACTGCCATAGATCTGATCCGCCAGATCGGGAAAGTGGCGACGGAATGCCCAGTAGGCGAGTCGGGAATGGCGGCGCGCCTCGCTGTCCGCGTCGCCAATGGACTTCTTGAGCGTGTCGCGCAGAATGATGGCGTGTCGTTCCAGTGATTTCGTTTGCCACTCCTCGAAGAGCAGCACCATCAGCTCGCAGAGCGTTGAGCGGATGTCCTTTGACTTGGACTGCTGTAACGTCTCCAAGTAGATCTTCAGCAGCTTCGGCGCGTGCGTATATTTGATGATATATTTGAGGGCCAGCGTGGAGGCCGATGCAATCACCTTTGCCGAGTTCTGGATCAGCTGTATCAGCTGCTCCAGTATGCTCCAGCAGAAGGAGTCCAGTTTGTTGCGCAACGTCTTGGACATGTACGCAATGGTGATGCACGCCTCCCTGATCACCTGCGAGCGCAGCTCCTCCTTCAGAACGTCCAGGAAGGCCAGAGATAGCTCCTTCAGCTGCACAGTCATAAATTGCTGCTGCGCCTGATAGTTGAGCATCAGCAGAGCGCGCACCTTCTTGAAGGCATCCACGCGCTTCTCCCAGTCGGCATTCTTATCGCTTATGATAACTAGGATTTGCTTGTATATGTCATCCATGTCCTTGGCATGGAATATAGTCAATTGCGGCACCTGCTCAAAGCTGGCCTCGAATATCTCCATGGTCACGGCGCCCGCATCGCCGGCCACATCGTTCGTAGTGGGCTTCTGGCGCTGCATCGACGAGGCCGAGTGTAGCTGTCGTTTGACAATCTTTGTGGGTCGCTCCCGCACAGAGATGTTGTCTCCCTCGTCCAGACCGCTGCCATTGGTGCCATTGCGCAGCGCCGAGGGCAGCAGCAGCCCCTCCAGCTTCACCTGATCGAACTTCTGCTCGAGCAGCGCCAGCTTCGAGGCAGGCATATCTTCAATGCGCCGCAGATCCGGTCGCAGGCGATCGCCCACATGCTTATAGATCTCCACGAGCGTCTGTATGGCCGCCTCCCGCACATTCACCGTGGGATCGCCGAGCAGTGCACACACCGGCGCTATGTACACCCGCACGCTGAGCTGCTGGGTGCCGTACTCGTTGAGCGCATTCACAATTGTCTGCAGGAACTCCTCGCGCACTTTGGCATTCTTGTGCTTGAAGCAGGTGACGGCCAGTTTGTCAATTAGCGTCTGGGGCGACTGAACTTTGTGCTCCATGAGATCACGCAGCAGCAGCTGCGCCTTCTCGCGCACAGTGTCTCGACTGTCGCCCAGGCGATCGATCACATGGGGCAGCACTGTGGCCGTATACGCATTGAAGTCGGAGCCCAAACGCTTGATCAGCTCCGAGAAGGCCTCGAGTGACTTTTGTGCGATCTTGAAGTGACTGCCCGTCAGCCAGGGCATCAGGTTGTCAATGAGGAAGCCCATGTCTGTGCACACAATTGAATTGGTGTCATCGCTGAGGAATGTCACCAGATCCTCAGCCAATTGGACCTTGACGCGCATATCCGCCTTGGGCATCTGTTGAATGAAGCCATCCAAATCGCTTGGCTTGCGGTACGCCATTCTCCCTCTCTCTCTCTCTCTCTCTCTCTCTTTCCTTCTTTATAACAGTGTGAACGTGTGTGTGTGTGTCGAGTGTTGCACCTGCAATAAAAGTGAACGGACATCAAATTGGTTTTAGCTTTTGGCTTGAGCAAATTGTATTAAATATTTATGCCACACGACTCTGTGGCACGTTGCAATGCAGGTCATGAGAAAACGAATGTCAATGGTAATATATAAATAGATTGATTCACTTTCGTCTCGCCCTAAATAAAACATCAAAATAATTGCAGACTGCTAATTTGTTCAGTTAGTTAATTAATTAAAGGTAAACAAAAACTATATCAAACAACTATAAAAATCTGCAACAATTTTGACAAAGCTAAATAATATAATTTTCAAAAAACAATAACATAAAAATCTACTTAATTTTTGACAAAACCAAAAAATAGATTCTAATTACTCTTCAAATTATGGATTGAATTCACTGGAGGTCAAAGCATCCGACTGATTAATAATTAACAATAATAGTTATTAATGAAGAAATACTAAAATAACAACTTCAAATGAAGCGCGCAATTCAAACTGTAAACTGCGCGCGCGCACATTAAATGCAGAAGGAGAAGAAGAAGAAGCAGCTGCTGCGACCGTAACACCAAAAAGAAGAAGAAGCACAAGCAACAGTCGCACAAACGTGCAAAATGGGCAACAATTTATGTGTTTATCCATGTGCCTGAGTATGCGTGAGTGTGCGTGCATGTGCGCGTGTGTATTTGTGTGCATGTGTGTGTGTGTGAGAAATGAAGTCAGTGTTTGGGCTGCGAAAAGTAGGTGAATGGCTGTGCGGGTGGAAGAATGAGCACGGGCATGGACATACTGGCAGATGGTAGTGTGCTGGAATGACAGTGCAGAGGAGGCGTGGGACGGGGGGTGGTGGGAGTAGTAGGTGTGAGCGGGGCGTTGTTACGTCGTCGTTGTGCACAAACATGAATCATCTCACCGCGTTGAGCGTGACGGACGAGGAGTGCTGCTCGATTTGTGGGTGGATGGGTGGGTAGTTGTAGTTATAGTTAAATAGGCAGTTAAGTGTCCAAAAACTACAAAAATAAAAACTATAAACAATAATAGCCCAAAAAGGTTGCGGCGCTGCCGCTGCTTCAGCTGTTACTGACTCTGGTTACGGAAGCGACATAAACGGTAAACGACGAGCGTCGCTGTTAATAGCTGCAGCGCCAACGGCAGCGACGTCAACGTCAAGCCGTCTATAGACAGTGAGAGAGAGAGAGAGACCGCAACAAAAACAACGACACAGCGTAACAAAAAGAAACAACATATTTATGGAAATAGCTAAATGAGATAATATGACAGCCAACAGCAAGTTGTAGAGGTAGAAGAGTGTGTCGACAATTACTAAGCAACAACAGCGACTTGTTTGCTCATGAGAGGAAGCGAGAGAGACGGACACAGAGAGAGCTTTAAGCGAACAAGCAACAAATTAGCATTGCATACGCAATTTTCTATTTATAATAAAATAACAGCAACAGCAACTAAAATTTTTATAAAGCGCTGGGCGTAGCTTTCGTAACGACCAACTTTTTTTAGAACTTTTGCAACTCTAACTAGACGATAAGATAGGGCTAGTCGATTAAAGGCAGCGGCCACGCTGTTAGTTTTGAAAAACAAGCAGCAGCTGTTCCAATTGGACTGGCCGAGGGCGAATTTGTTAAATTTAAATGTCACATGAAAAGCGAAATAAAAAAAAAATAAAACAAACGGAAGCGGAGGCGAGTGCGAGTGCGAATGTGAATGCGTGTCTTGGCCAAATAGTTGCATGATCTTTTTTTAACACGCTCACAGATACGCACACTCCTCCTCTCACTCTCACACACATATGCCTAAATAAATACTTACTTTATTTGCAAATCCGGCTGCTGCTGCTTCTTCTTCTTCTTCTGCTTCGGCTCCCTCTCTTCGTTTTACGCTCAATTTTTTGTTTTGGGTTGGGTCTGACGCCAGCAACAGCAACAACAGCAACAACAACAACTGCTGTTGCTGCTGGTGCTTGTTGGCCGCCTTGGGCAATGTTCAAAATTGATTTTCCAGTTGGAAATTGAACAAACAATTTGTAATGCACACAAATACGGGTATTAAATAAATTCTATATCGTTTCAAGCACAGCCAATTGAACAATTGCCAGATGAGAGATCACAGTTTTGCTCTTATTGTTGCCTCCGCTCACCCACTTCTTTATTTCTATTATTATTATTGTTATTGTTGTTGTTGTTGCGCGCAGTTTCACTTTAACACGTTAAAATGTCATTTGTTGTTGTTGCAATATCGCTGCTCTCTTTCTCGTTCGTCTACCGTTATTGCTGACTGCCAGAGGTGTTCGTCGCCGTCGCAGTCGCAGCGCCGTCGGGCTGCCGCGGGTTCAACACAAATTCCAACGTCTTCAAAGTCTCGTCTGCTGCTGCTGCTGCTGCTGTTGGCTGAATTCGTGAACTTTTTCAGTGACGCGCTGTTTGCCTGTGTGTGTTCTCTTACTCTCTTCCTCTCTCATTGCTCATGGGTCAGATTTGCACTCGCAATTTGTCCGCGTAGCGGTTGTTCGATTTGACAAACATCACATTTTGTTGCACATTTTCAACGTTTGCTTCTTATTTTGCCTATTCATTAGATTCTTTTCACACTTTTTACATCAATTTAATACCGATTTTGTTGCGCGTTGCGAAAAATTGCCTCTTCTTGCTCATCGGTTGTTGCCATAAATCGATACGAGTTGTCACATCGATATCATTTACAGGGCTGCAACGTAAAAATATGACTGCATATCGATAGTAGACTGTAAATATACCTATTTTTAACAGTCTGGTAGCATTTCTTTTTATGTAAACAGCACATGTATTTAATCTCAGTGTTGTTTACCCTCTGATAAGTATACAATACTTAATTAAATTTTGGAGGGAAGACAGCTGGGTCAGCAACAAATGATATGTAAAACGATACGCTGATAAAGCTGGAGTGGGTCTGTATGATAATAAATAAATGTGAAAATGCAACGTGGAATTTTTTTCTATTGTATTTATTTATTTTTTCTTCAGCCCATTGTGTGTATAGAATTCATTTACTTTTGCGATCAAATTACTTTTGATTTCTCGGATTCATTTGTATGCAACTTAAGCTATTCAGTCTTTTATTACTTTGAACAATTCTGGTGAACCGCCTGTGCCCTGCCCGATGGATCTTCTGGGCAGCCCCAATCAAGGCGTGGCACCCATCGCACCACTGTCCGAGCTGCTGCATCTCCAGGAAATTGTTGCTCAAAGATAGTGCGATAGTAGTATGCTTCCTTTGTCGTTGGCGTGTTGTATGGATATCTCTCGGCAGCTGCCGCAAACTCCGCATCGTCCACGTGGCTGGTGGCTACGCGGCGGATGCTATTGATCCATTCATAGCCGACGCCATCCGAGAACTGTTCTTTCTGGCGCCAGAGCACTGAATCCGGCAAATAGTCCTCGTCAAAAGCAGCGCGCAACACAAATTTCTCCAGCCTGGACTTCTGCTCGTCATTGAATTGGTTAAGGGGCCCAGGAATCTTATCTTGTGGCCGTATGTTCATCACATAGTTGACGAACTCCGTGTCCAGGAAGGGCACACGCAGCTCCACGCCCTTCGCCATGGACACTTTATTGGCGCGCAAGCAGTCGGACAAATGCAGCTGCTGTACACGCTTCACCAGCTCCTCGTGGAACTGCTCATAGCTAGGCGCCTTGTGGAAGTAGAGATATCCGCCAAAGATCTCATCTGCGCCCTCGCCAGAGAGGATCATCTTGATGCCGGTGCTCTTAATGTAACGCGCCAGCAACAGCATGGGCAGGCTGCATCTGACAGTCGTCACATCGTAGGTTTCCAGATGATAGACAATGTCCCGGATGCCGTCCAGTGCATCCTCAATCTCAAAGACGAGCTCCGTGTGGTCACTGTCTATGTACTTGGCCACTTGTCGAGCTGCCTCAAAGTCCGGTGCATCTCTGAGGCCCACCGAGAAGGTCTTCAATCTGTAGTCCGGATTGGTCTCACGCATAATCTTGGTGGCAATTGATGCTATCAGGCTAGAGTCGACGCCGCCAGAGAGCAGCGCGCCAAAGTGAACATCGCACTGCAGATGGGTGCGCACGGCGGACTCCAAGCTGGTCCTTAGCAGCGACAAGTCGCAGGGCAAACTGGGAATCTGCTTCATCCAGGGCTGCTCGAAGTGTCGCCAGCGATGCATATTGCCCACTCGTCCGAAGCGCGCCTCACCCGGCGTAAATGCCTCCAACTTCTCGCAGCAGGCAGTCAGGCATTTCATCTCGGAGGCCACCCATATGTTGCCCTTGGCATCCTCGCCAATGTACATGGGTATAATACCAAAGGGATCACGTGCCATCAACACCTCCTTGGTGGTCTTGTCGTACAATGCAAACGCGAACATGCCCGTGATGTGCTGCAGCAGCTCTTCGCCGTAATCTTGATACAGTTCCAATATGACGTGGCAGTCACTCTTTGGCTTATAGCCGCCACGTCTTTTCGCTATCTGTGCAGATAGTTCTAGATAGTTGTAGATCTCACCGTTGGCCACCAGCAATAGATTGCCATCATCCGAGACAAATGGCTGGTCGCCCAATTCGACTCCCACAATGCGCAGTCGCTCGTGGACCATGGCCACTCCGTGTTCTGGTATAATCTGGACGCCCGTCGAGTCGGGTCCACGATGCCGCTGTCTGCCACTCTGCCTATAGGCCAACTCGCGAAGACTATGCTTGCAGCCATCCAAACACTGTGCCTCTATGGGCGATCCATCGCTGGAGAATATTGCAAATATGCCACACATGATTCTCAAATTTAATTTACCGTTACTCGGTCCACGTTATGTAACACCTCTTGCAAAACGCCCTTCCACTAACGCTGCTCAAACTCAACTATTCCACAGTTCGTTCAATTCGCATGATTTATGGAGTTCGATGATTACATCAGTCGACTGTTAAAAGAGCACAATTTCAGAGCAGCTTCGTTCCTTTCAATGTTAACTAACAGTTCCGTTAGCACAGCTGAACATTAATTGGCGAGCACTTAAGCACAGATCCAGCAAGTGTTCGAAAGCAAGTCTGTTAATATTATTTCAAATTTCAATAGCAAGTACAATAAAAATGGTCAATCATTTCTTTTATATATAATATGTAGGAGCTGCACACGAGTAATTAATGGAAAGAGTTTACCAACTTTTATCTCAATAATGTTTAATTGTCTAACTTCTGAAATATTCAAAAGCAGAATACGTTTAAGGTGCATTAATATATATAACTGTTACTTACATCTACTGCAATCACATCTAAATCCTGTGCTCTTTTTTTAAAAATAGAAGATGAGAAAGATAATTTATCACTATTGATGTTTATCATCACTCAATCGTGGCTCACTATTACATCAGCCACTGTTACCGCGCCTCAGCTGAGACACTAACTGTTGTTAGTAGCTCGGAAAGAGCACAGTCCGAAAATGTGACGTCAAACAAGGGCTGTTAGCTAACAGGAGAAGAAAAATAAAGTGTCTTTTAACAGTGCGAGTGCCTCTCTTCACTCTTATCAAAACACTGACCAGCTTAATTGAATTATATTTCAATTTATTGAATGCACGTGCGAAACACAATGCAAAAGTGGGGCGGAAATTAAATAATTGTTTTTAATTTGCATTCGTTTTCTAATCAATTGATTCGGTTCAGTCAGGTTCAAGAGCAATTGTTTTTCGCGTGTGAAAGCTCACTATTAATTGTAGGTTATTCCTTTGGGAAAAAATTATAAACATATTTATTGATGCTCTTAAGAAATTTAAAATTAGTTTATATATTGCTATTTTTCGAATTGTTATTTTTATTTTAAACAACTATTGAAAAATGGAAAACCATTAATACAAATATTTAACACTTGCCATAGGCCTGATTATGGGCCGCCTGTGCCCGCCCTGACGGATCTTCTGGACAACCCCAGTCCTGGCGTGGCGTCCACTTCGCCACAGTGTTGGCAGCTGCCTTGCCAGGGAACTGTTCCTCGAAGATGCAGCGATAGTAGTAGGCCTCCTTGGTCTTGGGCGGATTGATGGAAAAACGTTGCTCTGCCGCTTGGAGCTGTGCATCGGTCACATGACGAGCCGCAAACTCTGGCAGGGCGTCGATGAGGGCGTAGCCCACGCCATCCGAGAACTGTTCCTTCTGGCGCCAGAGCACAGCATCTGGCAAATAATCTCCATCGAAGGCTTCGCGCAGCACAAACTTCTCCATGCGCCACTTTCGTTCCCCCGCAAACTCATTAAGAGCACCTGGAATCTTGTCCTGCGGACGTATGCTCATCACATGGTTTACCAGCTGGGTATCCAGGAAGGGCACACGCAGCTCCAGTCCCTTGGACATGGTCACCTTGTTGGCACGCAATATATCGGAGACATGCAGCCGCTCGCAGATCGTGACCATCTCCTCGTGGAACTGATCGTAGTTGGGCGCCTTGTGGAAGTAGAGATACCCGCCAAAGATCTCGTCCGCGCCCTCGCCCGAGAGGATCATCTTGATGCCGGTGCTCTTCACATGGCGGGCCAGGTAGAACATGGGCAGGCTGCAGCGCACAGTGGCTATATCGTATGATTCCAGGTGATAGATCAGATCGCGCAGCCCATCCAGGCAGTCCTCCACGGTGAAGCTGATCTCCGTGTGCTGGCTGCCAATGTGCTGGGCCACCAGGCGTGCATGCTCGAAGTCTGGTGAACCGGGCATGCCCACCGAGAAGGTGCGCAGCTTGTAGTTAGCGTCCCGTTCCCTCATGATCTTCGCAGCTATCGAAGCTATCAGGCTGGAGTCCACGCCACCCGAGAGCAGCGCTCCAAAGGGCACGTCACACTGCAAATGCGAGCGCACAGCCAGCTCCAGTTGGTGACGCAGCTCTTGAAGATTCACCGGCCGCGTGGGCGTCAACTGGCGCCAGCTGGGATTGTGGTAGCGCACGGGCTGGATCTGCAGCACTGTGCCCGCTGCCAGATGGCCAGGTGGGAAGATCTGCAATCGCTCGCACACGCCCATCAGGCACTTCATTTCCGAGGAAAACCACAAGTTGTCCTGCGCATCCTGGCCCATGTAGAGAGGAATAATGCCATAGGGATCGCGGGCCACCAGCAGCTGACGTCTGCGACGATCGTAGAGCACAAAGCTGAACATGCCTGTGATGTGCTGGAGCAACTCCTGGCCGTGCTCCTCGTACAGCTCGATGATCACATTGCAATCGCTCCTGGGCCGATAGCCGGGCAAGCGCTTGCCAATCTGCTCGGCCAGCTCCACATAGTTGTAGATCTCGCCGTTGGCAATCAGGGCAACGTTGCCGTCCTGCGACACCAGCGGCTGATGGCCCGTCTCCACGCCAATGACCGCCAGCCGTTCATGCACCAAAGCCACGCCCTGCTCCTCTATAACCAGGACGCCCGTGTCATCGGGTCCACGATGCCGTTGCTTCCCACTCTGCCGATAGGCCAACTCCCGCAAACTGTGCTCGCTGCCCTGAAAATTTGTTGCTCCAATCGCTTCTCCGTTCGCCGAGAATATGGCTAAGATGCCGCACATATTGAGATCGTTCAGATTAGACTATTGAATCAGGTAATAATGTATCTTTACACCTGTAGCCAGATTCATCTGCTCGAGCAGCTGCCTCGACTGCCGCTTTTATAACAAATTGGTCAGTGAGTTTCGGCCTTATTAGTTGTTTTTTTTTTGTTTTTGCCTAATTTAGTAACTTAACGATCCCAAACAATTGTTAAAAAAGCGTTAAATTCGTTCAATTTGAAAATAGAAATTAAGGCACTCAGAGTGAAGGGTTAACATATAGGGTATATATACCCTATAAAGATTTCATATAGTTAGTCTTAGTAGATGAGTTTAAACCGAACATCTAGAAGGGAAGTTATGCAAGATCTAAGTCGATCTGCATAAACTGAACGATAGATGGCGCTCGAGATGATTTGAGCAAGAGTAAATGTTTATGATTTACCAATAGTTTCAGCAACTAGGTGAAGATGTCAGGGTATCTTTCAGTCGGTGCTTCTTCTTTTTCGACAAACCTAAACACACAGTTAAAAATACTAAGACAAAAATAATAAAATCAGTATTTCGGTTAGCTACCATATTTTATTACTTAAATTTGTTTTATTTTTTTAAGAATATAAAATAACATGTAAATAAAAATGTTGTTTTAATTGCTTGCTACTAAACCTTAAAAAAAAAAAAAAAAAATAAATAAATAAACATTTAGTTTATGAATGGAAATTTCATATTTGACATCTGATTTTCCCTCAGTGTGAATTGTGAATTAAAGCCGGATTTGTGGATTGAACGAATAAAACTTAGTCGCACGATAAATTTACATAATATTTAGTTAATCGAGAATTTTTTAATTCGGCTTAAACAATTTGAACTTAAAATCAATAACAGATTTAGAATATAGAATAAGGGCTTATATTTGCTTCGTTCCCATCAGCCTGGGAAAGTAAGGACAAGGTACATACATCAATACGGAATCAAATTTGAATTTTAGCACGTTGAGTAAATAAATCATTTTAATTGATAGGGGGGTTCAAAGTGCGCTGGAAAAAAATATATAAACTATGTATATCTGATTAATTTATTCTATATGTATAGAATAGTATACTCTATAGTTGGCAACAATTCAGAGCAAAGTTGAAATTTAATCTCAAAAACAAAACGCTGAAGTCCAAAATTGAGTAATGTTCTATGGTTAATGGTAATGGTTCCCGTTCTTAAAAGTAAAAACTGCTCTTTGGATAGGTTATCTCAAGTATCTCAAATCGTTTTTTGAAATCTGCGCCGATTTATCAGCTTACATTTAATTACGATAACGATAACATTTAGCGATTGACAATTCTTACTAACAAATATCACTAAATATTAACATACTTTGTTGATTTTAGCCACTTAAATATTTTTAACATATTTTATTTCTGACTTATTATATATATCTTCACTCATTTCACTGGCATCGTCAATTGGCCTTAAAAGGATTCCCTAGGAAGTACGTGCGTGTGCACGACTATTCCACTTTTCTGGGCGAATGGTTTTTGAGAAGTGTGAACATTTGAATAAAACCCAATCTAATTCATAGGCAATGGAGTCCTGCAAAGCTTTAGCATTAAAATGAATAGAATTTTACTTAAATTAATATACTTATCAATATAAACAAATGAGAATTTTTTGTTAAGTTTTTTTGGCGCTCTGCCATTCAAACAGCCAACGTCTGAGCTGGCGTTATCGATAAATGCTTGCAATCGTTTTACAGCACTGTCGCATTTGAAATATACTGACAGCTGCCTGCATCAGGCAGCGGTGCAAGAAAAATTGTATAAATTTTCAATCAAATAGAACCAAAATTATTCAATATATTTGTCAATAAAAATGTACACAGATGAGGTGAGTACGCCGCAAGCACTCAAGACGCGATGCTATGCCAGCTTAAATGAGCTCAAATGCCGTGTAACAAAGAGTGGCAGACGAAGCAGCAGCAATAGCGGCATCAGCAGCAGCAACCATTTTATAGCCGCGGCGTCTGCAACGCCTACGAATGGCGGCAAATCGAATAAATCAAAGTGCAGCCCCCAATTGCATGGCACGGTGTGCACACCGCCACCCAAACGACTACAGAAGGTGCGAAATCCTTTTGAGGGCGCTCTGGCAGAGCGTCTGCATTTACCATTGATAGCCAGGTGAGTGTGTGAGTGGACGAATTTATGCTCAGTTCTCAATAATTGACTTGCTCTTCCTAGTCCCTCACTCTTTCAGTGTCGTTCGCGCACTCCACAGCTCTCCTCCACGCAATTCGAGTGGGACATCGAAGAGGTGTCCCAGCTGAAGCCCGCGGATGTGGAGCCGCATGAGACCCAATTTCATGACTCGCCGGATCCCGAACAGGAATCCAAGGCACAATTGGCTATTAGCACCTTTTTCAAGGAATCGCATATAGTGCCCAGCCCCGTGGACTGTCCGCTGCGCAAGCATCGCATAATACTTAACGAAATCAATGCGAATACGCCCATATCGAACAA